CATTACCTTTACGGGTGAAACGGGCACGCCAAAGGTCCAACCATGTAAATAAAGGTCGAACTGCAGTATCAGTGAGGCAGAATCAGACTGAGAAAGCGGCGATGAAGAGAGTCGAGCAGAACCTCACCACACACGGCTCTTAATAAACACTTCTGAATGATAATTTGCTACATTTTTTAGCAAACTGACTGACTGACAAACTGACTGGCTATTAATGTTATACTCAAACAGCGCTGGCAAGTTTACGTACTTGATCAAATCTAAAATAACGTCATAAAGCATATATACATGAAAAATACGTTTAAAACATTAGTACTTATACAAAATTCAGGTCCATAATGTTTGTATGCGTTTGTTGTAGACACAAAAGCGTAACTAGTAGCCTAGTGGCTATAAAGCCAGCGCTGGCATTTGAAAAAAAAACTAAAACACAACGGCTGCGTCTGGAATTATACGTACAAATACATTTAAAATGATGAAGTCTTCGCCTACTTACAGGTTGTGTTCAACAACTGCTGCCTCTGGTTTTAAAGTCGGATCTGTTTCATGTTTTAGTAACAGTTTGTTGTTGAATCCGGTGTTGAACTCGTGGAGATTCTGGAAGCTGTCTTCTGTAAATGTGCAGCACAGAGAGCTAGATTACCATCGTCACTTACAGGAACATAATCAAACATAAAGTGTATCCATTGTTGATGAAGTACAGCGTCCGTGGGAAGCCCGAAAACATAAGACATAAGGGAGGGTTGGTGCAAATGTGTGTGTTAGTGACGTCCCGATCCAGTCGTTTTTGTAGGCAATTAAACTTCCTGATTTTAAAAAGACGATATCTCTGCTTACACTGAACTTTCAGCGCTGCAACTTTGCAGATACTGTTCATGCACCAACAGCAACATTATACACTATTTAACATCAAAAAAGTGAAACCACAGTCACCCCCCCTTTAAAAAAATGACATAACCGACATAGTAAAATTACGTAATTTATAGGCACCAACCAACGGCAAACACACACCTTCAGCAGACCTGTCCACCCTGAACACGCTAAACACACGCCAAACACACACCTTCAGCAGACCTGTCCACCCTGAACATGCTAAACACACGCCAAACACACACCTTCAGCGGTCCTGTCCACCCTGAACACGCTAAACACACGCCAAACACACACCTTCAGCAGACCTGTCCACCCTGAACATGCTAAACACATGCCAAACACACGCCTTCAGCGGTCCTGTCCACCCTAAACACACCATACCCAGACAGCAAACTGACATTGAATCAACGTGGAAACGACGTCTCTCATGACATTGAAACAACGTTGATTTGCTCATCGAATTAACGTTGAACCAACGTCAGACGCGGCATTCTTCAAAGCTAAATGAAAATCGAAAATTGGTTTGCTTTCATAACGTTGAAACAACGCGTTGATTTCAAGTTGATTTTCCGTTAGTTTTGAAAGAATGACGCGTCTGACGTTGGTTCAACGTTAATTCGATGAGCAAAACAATGTCAGATCAACGTTGTTTCGATGTCAGTTTGCTATCTGGGATACAATAAGCCATCATGGCACTACTGAGAGCTTTGTGTTGGACTGATGCCGATGCTCATGTGAGTGTCAGTAAAGAGAAGCAGCAGACAGGGGTCGAAGGTCAAGCTTGTTTGTAGAGTGAACTCAGTGTTTCAGCTGTTAAGCATTAGTGTCATTTTCATACACATCTGCACTGGCGCGAGCTTCATTTAACATCAACGAGCCGCACAATCTGCCGTCGCCTCCGTAAGCGGCTTGTGTCCGAGAGCGTGTCGTTCGCCCATCTGTGACCCCCGCCTCTCTCTCTGCAGATGTGCTGACCCTGGACAGCTGGAGACTGAGAGATTAACACTACTAACCCTGTGCTCTTGGGTCAGGCCTAGTCTCCTGCGAGCTTACAGCACAGGGCTCGGCACCTCCTCTAGAACGCTCCTTCAGGGTTATCTGGTTTTTAATCATGTTCTCTAAACGCTACAACCAAAACATTATTTCTACATTGATCATGGAATGTTTTTTCAGTTGGATGCGCTTGTTTCAAGTCAAGTCTCCTTTACTTATAAAGCGCTTTTTAAAGCACAGAGTTTCAGAGCAGCTTTACAGAGATAACAGGAAAATGATCCAACAAAGTTTGTTTCCGGAAGACAATCGCGTCTCAGTCCAGCTTAAATAAGTTCAGTGATGGTTCAACTCCACACTCACATAACCCGTGCAATGCTCACAGCCCTACTGGCTGAACACTATAAGACGTCATAGAAAAATGTTAAATTCACTGTATTATAAATAAAATACCTATGTAACATTTACATCACTGACCATATGAGGCTTTTCCAGGATATAAACAAAATAATAAAGCATAAGACCAATATATTAGCTAAATATGTCAAACAATTAGGCAGGGTAATTGTATTCTTATGCGTATTACACAACAACTACATGACTTATGCCTGAATAAACTCCTAATATACTGCCTAGTAACAGTCAGTAAGGTAAGATTGTTAAGTTGAGGTATTGGGTAGGGTTAATATGTAGAATGCCATCATGTCATAGATTTTTCTAGTCTTGTGGCAGGATCAAGGCAGAACCATGTTTTGGCCTGTTGTTTGGGCCATGTGCTTGTGTTGCCTCGTTTCATAACCCCGCCCCCTCGTTATCCTCGTCTTGTCATGATTGTCTAGTCAGTTTCACCTGTCTTTGTCATTAGGGTCTCCCTGTATAATCCCCTTGTGTCAAACATCGTGTGTGGCAGTCTGTGAGCACTACTCTGTATCTCGAGTTAAGGGTTGTGGTTTGAATAGCTGTTTATTCTCATTTCTTAGTCATCAAGTCTGTCTGCTGTTCTAGTCTACTTTATTTCCCTAGTCTCGGTGTTCAGCCCTTCAGTTCTGTTTTGTTTTCTTGCACTGCATTTGGGTTCATCTCTTACATCCACATAACACGAATATGGCCATGCAGAATAAAGCATTAATATGTGCTTCATCATAAGTGCTAATAAACAGCCAATATCCTGGTAATAAGCATAATAATAAGCAACTAGTTTTTAGTTTAAACTAAAGCATTCATTCCAACTAAAGCTTTCATTATTCCTTAATCCCTGCCAGATCTAGTTGTTATTATTATAAACAATGTGTGAAGGACAGTTTTGAGGAATCATAACTAATATTTCTCTTACACGATTAACATTTATATGCTTTTGAAAGCTAAATGTTCACAGTTGGCGTGTGATTAATGTAACAAATAGAGGAAACAAAACTAGACAGCTGTTGGAAAATATTGAGGAACTTGAGGAACAAGCTGAAGTATCAAAGAGTACAAGTTAGATTTTACTTAGTAACAGAGAATTACAACTATGAAGAACCAATCATATTAGAGAGAAGTGTGTAATTAGTCATGCCACTTATTCAATATAAACTGTTGTGCTTTTTTTGTTGGGATTCTCTGGGAAACTGGTCTAAGATCCTCTCGTTTCCATCTGCGCAAACTAGAGACCTTATTCGTTACGAGTCCTTACAGGTTAGTGTTTATAAGACCTTATTCGTTACGAGTCTTTGGGAATTTCTTCCTCAAATGTTTAAAACTTTGTATTACTAGATTTCATCATTATTGCCTCTTTAAGATGATGCGCTTGTTGAATTCTTATTTGTAAGTTGCTTTGCATAAAAGCATCTGCTAAATTAAGAAATGTAGCTTATAATTTTTTTGCATTACAATAATAAGAATTTAATTTGAGAATTAAATTAATTTAATTTGATGAAAATTATGTCATAGTACGGAAGACAGTTTATTTATTTTTTGATCTTGCATGCATTAGTGTTTTACATCAGGTAATGAATGACGTTTTTCTTCGTGTTTGACCTCCGCTGAGGGTCACATGACCGCTGGCCACCAATCCTAGCTTCGGGCTGCTTTGGATGGTTGCCATAGAAACCATATTCCCAGCGGCCACAGGTGCAATCTGTGGACTCAGCAATCACAGCCAACAGTGGTGAAGATACTGAGAGCGAGAGAGTGTGTGCGTGAGTGTGTGTGTGTGTGTGTGTGAGTGAGAGAGAGAGAGAGAGAGTGAATGAGAGAGAGAGAGAGTGTGTGTATGAGTGAGAGAGAGAGAGAGAGAGAGGTTGACTAGGCAACAGTAAGACGAGATACGCCTCGATGCACCAAAGATAAATAACAGCCTCAGATACAGAGAGGAAGTCTTCAATGCTGCTGTTAATCTTCATGTCAATCACGTAATCGCTCGATGAAGCGGCTTTCCTGTCTTGGGCTAAAAGTGCTGTGTGTAAACATTATTACTCTATTAAAGCATAAAAATACCATAATATAAACATGCTGAGTTCACGCACTTACTGATTTTACACGTTCTGTGTTGTCAGTCGGTTTTGGTCTGTGTGACTCCGCCCACTGCCTGTTCAGCCAATAGGGCTTCAACACCACGGGATGCCATTTGGCGGGAAACACTGCGTAACGTAGCCATGGAAATGAGCAAACAAACCCTGTCAGAGATCGCAGACTCCACACAACCTAAAAAGCCTCGATATCAATCTAAGAATCGCTATGAACGAGAGCATATTAAACGCGGATAATTCAACTCACGTCCTCCTCGAAGTCTCCTCGGCGTTCGCTGTCCATCGCGCTCTGTCTGAATCTGGCGAGTCTGTAGAGGCGGGGAAACAACGATCTCTGATGTTTATAATCTGGACTGCAGTACCGATGTCCACCACTGGTAACATTCAGAAATAACGTTTTTGCAACTTAATGGCAACTTATCAAAACGTATATATCTATGAGCCGGTCAGTGACACTGAACACACTGACCCAGATGTGAATGAAGTGTGTGTGTGACGTGTGTCTCTGACAGCTCTTTCTCTTGGTAAAATCACTGTAACTCAGGGCCTCTCGTTGCTTTATTAGACAATAGTTCCTGTGTGTTATATAACATTTGTTCATTTAAATCTCCATGTCATGTCTGATTGTAGGAATACCGGATCAGACCGCTGAGGATTATGAAAACCAGGACATGAAGCTCAAACACATCTAGAAAAAAGAGAAGCGAGTGCGGTGAGTATCTGTGTGTGTGTGTGTGTGTGTGCTGGAGAATGACATCCCTTCATTCCCTCTATTTCTGTACGTGTCGTCTCCTCCAGCGTGGGACAGGCACGTGTCACGGGTCGACTGAACTCTGACGAGGCCTGACACTAACTTCACATTCGTTTCCTCGAGCGAAGGAAATAAACTCATTTTAGAAAGCGTGTTCATTTCGCACTTTACCTTTGATGAGCGACTGCACACATGCCATCTACATAAAATAATCATTAGCAAAAATAAATAATGTTATGGTGAGTTATAAGCTCCCATCCTGTCTCATAAATCACGTTTCCCTCTGGACTGCACTACTTTATTTGTCAATGTATGCGTGTTGCTCTCGCGTCTCTGTGTGAACCAGCCCTAAGAATGTCTAGACATTATACAAATACATCTGTACCTTAATTACAGGTACGATAATCATGTGAAACTTAAATCTCATGAGCACAGAAATACACAAACATTTGTCAGAGTGGAAGCAAACTAAACGTCTGGTCTAAATAGAACACATGCATATGACTATAACTATAATGACTATATGACTATATAACAAAAAGCATAAATGGATCAATACAAGAATAATGTTAAAAAGGAACAGAATTATCATAATAATCATGGAAAGTGTTCTGTTAACTCTGCTAAACTATAATTACTAGAAGTAAAACTGAAACTAAATATATAAAGGCTAAATAAAAATGTGTTCACAAAATAAAAGCTAACAAACCATTAATGAAACTAACTAAAACTAAACTGAAAATGATATTAAAATAAAAACTAATGCAAAAATAGTAACAGACGAACCCAGATCCAGACGAACCCAGATCCAGACGAACGCAGATCCAGGCGAAAGCAGATCCAGACAAACGCAGATCCAGACGAAAGCAGATCCAGACGAACGCAGATCCAGACAAAAGCAGATCCAGACGAAAGCAGATCCAGACGAACACAGATCCAGACGAACACAGATCCAGACAAACCCAGATCCAGACGAACGCAGATCCAGACGAAAGCAGATCCAGACAAACGCAGATCCAGGCGAACGCAGATCCAGACGAACGCAGATCCAGACGAAAGCAGATCCAGAAGAAAGCAGATCCAGACGAACACAGATCCAGACGAAAGCAGATCCAGACAAACACAGATCCAGACGAACGCAGATCCAGACGAACGCAGATCCAGACGAATGCAGATCCAGATGAACACTGATCCAGACAAACCCAGATCCAGGCGAATGCAGATCCGGACGAAAGCAGATCCAGACGAAACACAGATCCAGACGAACGCAGATCCAGACGAACGCAGATCCAGACGAACGCAGATCCAGACGAACACAGATCCAGACGAACACAGATCCATAAGAACACGGATCCAGACGAAAGCAGATCCAGACGAAACGCAGATCCAGACGAACACAGATCCATACGAACACAGATCCAGACGAAACACAGATCCAGACAAACGCAGATCCAGGCGAACGCAGATCCAGACGAACGCAGATCCAGACGAAAGCAGATCCAGAAGAAAGCAGATCCAGATGAACACAGATCCAGACGAAAGCAGATCCAGACGAAAGCAGATCCAGACGAACACAGATCCAGACGAACGCAGATCCAGACGAATGCAGATCCAGATGAACACTGATCCAGACAAACCCAGATCCAGGCGAATGCAGATCCGGACGAAAGCAGATCCAGACGAAACACAGATCCAGACGAACGCAGATCCAGACGAACGCAGATCCAGACGAAAGCAGATCCAGAAGAAAGCAGATCAGACGAACACAGATCCAGACGAAAGCAGATCCAGACGAACACAGATTCAGACGAACGCAGATCCAGACGAACGCAGATCCAGACGAAACACAGATCCAGACAAACGCAGATCCAGACGAACACAGATCCAGACGAACACAGATCCAGACAAACCCAGATCCAGACGAACGCAGATCCAGACGAAAGCAGATCCAGACAAACGCAGATCCAGGCGAACGCAGATCCAGACGAACGCAGATCCAGACGAAAGCAGATCCAGAAGAAAGCAGATCCAGACGAACACAGATCCAGACGAAAGCAGATCCAGACGAACACAGATCCAGACGAACACAGATCCAGACGAAAGCAGATCCAGACGAACACAGATCCAGACGAACGCAGATCCAGACGAACGCAGATCCAGACGAATGCAGATCCAGATGAACACTGATCCAGACAAACCCAGATCCAGGCGAATGCAGATCCGGACGAAAGCAGATCCAGACGAAACACAGATCCAGACGAACGCAGATCCAGACGAACGCAGATCCAGACGAACGCAGATCCAGACGAACACAGATCCAGACGAACACAGATCCAGACGAACACAGATCGAGACGAACGCAGATCCATACGAACACGGATCCAGACGAAAGCAGATCCAGATGAAACACAGATCCAGACGAACACAGATCCATACGAACACAGATCCAGACGAAACCCAGATCCAGACAAACCCAGATCCAGACAAACGCAGATCCAGACGAACGCAGATCCATACGAACACAGATCCAGACAAACCCAGATCCAGGCGAATGCAGATCCGGACGAAAGCAGATCCAGATGAAACACAGCTCCAGACGAACACAGATCCATACGAACACAGATCCAGACGAAACCCAGATCCAGACAAACCCAGATCCAGACAAACGCAGATCCAGACGAACGCAGATCCATACGAACACAGATCCAGACAAACCCAGATCCAGGCGAATGCAGATCCGGACGAAAGCAGATCCAGACGAAACACAGATCCAGACGAACGCAGATCCAGCCGAACACGGATCCAGACAAAAGCAGATCCAGACAAAACGCAGATCCAGATGAACACAGATCCAGACGAACGCAGATCCATATGAACACGGATCCAGACGAAAGCAGATCCAGACGAAACGCAGATCCATACCAACACAGATCCATACGAACACAGATCCAGACGAAACACAGATCCAGACAAACGCAGATCCAGACAAACGCAGATCCAGACGAACGCAGATCCATACGAACACGGATCCAGACAAACACAGATCCAGACGAACGCAGATCCAGACGAAACACAGATCCAGACAAACGCAGATCCAGACAAACGCAGATCCAGACGAACGCAGATCCATACGAACACGGATCCAGACAAGAGCAGATCCAGACGAACGCAGATCCAGACGAACACAGATCCAGACTAACGCAGATCCAGACGAACGCAGATCCAGACAAACGCAGATCCAGACAAACGCAGATCCAGACAAACGCAGATCCAGACGAACGCAGATCCATACGAACACGGATCCAGACAAACACAGATCCAGACGAACGCAGATCCAGACGAAACACAGATCCAGACAAACGCAGATCCAGACAAACGCAGATCCAGACGAACGCAGATCCATACGAACACGGATCCAGACAAGAGCAGATCCAGACGAACGCAGATCCAGACGAACACAGATCCAGACTAACGCAGATCCAGACGAACGCAGATCCAGACTAACGCAGATGATCCAGACGAACACGGATCCAGACAAAAGCAGATCCAGACGAACGCAGATCCAGACGAACGCAGATCCAGACGAATGCAGAACTGCAGTAGATTACCCCGGTGTGCGCGCGCACTGGAATGCCACGCTGACTAGGGCTGTGCTTTTACATTAGTTTAGATTTTATTATTATTTTAAGTTTCCTATATATTTCAGGTTAGTTTTAGTTAAACTATACTGACAAAAACACGTGCGGTTTTGTTGGTTTAAGTTTAGTATTTATTTTGTGAAAAGAACACTTTTAATTTACATTTTAACTTTTAGAACACTAGTTTTGAATAAAAATTAAACATTAAACACAGACTTAAACAGCCCGTAAACATGCTTTATCACTTGAAAAAATGTAATAACCTGTTAAACGTGAAAGCTATCTTATAGGAACAAAGACCAAATCCAGCGTTTCTTGCTTCTATTCAGAGTTGAAGTGTCTTGTGATGCCCTGATGCGCACACACACGTTCAGTGATGCCCTGATGCGCACACACACGTTCAGTGATGCCCTGATGCGCACACACACGTTCAGTGATGCCCTGATGCGCACACACACGTTCAGTGATGCCCTGATGCGCACACACACGTTCAGTGATGCCCTGATGCGCACACACACGTTCAGTGATGTCCGGATGCGCACACACACGTTCAGTGATGCCCTGATGCGCACACACACGTTCAGTGATGCCCTGATGCGCACACACACGTTCAGTGATGTCCGGATGCGCACACACACGTTCAGTGATGCCCTGATGCGCACACACACGTTCAGTGATGCCCTGATGCGCACACACACGTTCAGTGATGCCCTGATGCGCACACACACGTTCAGTGATGCCCTGATGCGCACACACACGTTCAGTGATGCCCTGATGCGCACACACACGTTCAGTGATGCCCTGATGCGCACACACACGTTCAGTGATGCCCTGATGCGCACACACACGTTCAGTGATGCCCTGATGCGCACACACACGTTCAGTGATGTCCGATGCGCACACACACGTTCAGTGATGTCCGGATGCGCACACACACGTTCAGTGATGCCCTGATGCTCACACACACGTTCAGTGATGTCCGGATGCGCACACACACGTTCAGTGATGCCCTGATGCGCACACACACGTTCAGTGATGCCCTGATGCGCACACACACGTTCAGTGATGCCCTGATGCGCACACACACGTTCAGTGATGTCCGGATGCGCACACACACGTTCAGTGATGCCCTGATGCGCACACACACGTTCAGTGATGCCCTGATGCGCACACACACGTTCAGTGATGCCCTGATGCGCACACACACGTTCAGTGATGCCCTGATGCTCACACACACGTTCAGTGATGCCCTGATGCGCACACACACGTTCAGTGATGCCCTGATGCGCACACACACGTTCAGTGATGCCCTGATGCGCACACACACGTTCAGTGATGCCCTGATGCGCACACACACGTTCAGTGATGCCCTGATGCGCACACACACGTTCAGTGATGTCCTGATGCGCACACACACGTTCAGTGATGCCCTGATGCGCACACACACGTTCAGTGATGCCCTGATGCGCACACACACGTTCAGTGATGCCCTGATGCGCACACACACGTTCAGTGATGCCCTGATGCGCACACACACGTTCAGTGATGCCCTGATGCGCACACACACGTTCAGTGATGCCCTGATGCGCACACACACGTTCAGTGATGCCCTGATGCGCACACACACGTTCAGTGATGCCCTGATGCTCACACACACGTTCAGTGATGCCCTGATGCTCACACACACGTTCAGTGATGCCCTGATGCGCACACACACGTTCAGTGATGCCCTGATGCGCACACACACGTTCAGTGATGTCCTGATGCGCACACACACGTTCAGTGATGTCCTGATGCGCACACACACGTTCAGTGATGTCCTGATGCGCACACACACGTTCAGTGATGCCCTGATGCGCACACACACGTTCAGTGATGCCCTGATGCGCACACACACGTTCAGTGATGCCCTGATGCGCACACACACGTTCAGTGATGCCCTGATGCTCACACACACGTTCAGTGATGCCCTGATGCGCACACACACGTTCAGTGATGCCCTGATGCGCACACACACGTTCAGTGATGCCCTGATGCGCACACACACGTTCAGTGATGTCCGGATGCGCACACACACGTTCAGTGATGTCCGGATGCGCACACACACGTTCAGTGATGCCCTGATGCTCACACACACGTTCAGTGATGTCCGGATGCGCACACACACGTTCAGTGATGCCGATGCGCACACACACGTTCAGTGATGCCCTGATGCGCACACACACGTTCAGTGATGCCCTGATGCGCACACACACGTTCAGTGATGCCCTGATGCTCACACACACGTTCAGTGATGCCCTGATGCGCACACACACGTTCAGTGATGCCCTGATGCGCACACACACGTTCAGTGATGCCCTGATGCGCACACACACGTTCAGTGATGCCCTGATGCACACACACGTTCAGTGATGCCCTGATGCGCACACACACGTTCAGTGATGTCCTGATGCGCACACACACGTTCAGTGATGCCCTGATGCGCACACACACGTTCAGTGATGCCCTGATGCGCACACACACGTTCAGTGATGCCCTGATGCGCACACACACGTTCAGTGATGCCCTGATGCGCACACACACGTTCAGTGATGCCCTGATGCGCACACACACGTTCAGTGATGCCCTGATGCGCACACACACGTTCAGTGATGCCCTGATGCGCACACACACGTTCAGTGATGCCCTGATGCGCACACACACGTTCAGTGATGCCCTGATGCGCACACACACGTTCAGTGATGTCCTGATGCGCACACACACGTTCAGCGCTGGATGAGAACGATGGATTGAGTAAACACTCGGCTGAGTCGCTCTCGGAAGAATGCGGTGCGATCTGCTCTTAATGCGGAGGCCGGAGAGTAAAACACACAATGCCTGGGAAGATGTTCAATAATTAATGGGCTCTCTCGTAAAAAATCCATATCTATATAAGTGTAGTGGTGGGGTGAGGCTTGAAATGTGTGTGTTGTTGTACACAAGCACTTTACCCAGCACTGTTAGAGTGTGTGTTTGTTATAATCAGAGTCCAGACTGTAAAGCGTTTACTCTATATTAACCATCCGCTGTCACGAGCCGCGTCTGCACCGGATCTGAACCGCACCAGAAACAGCTGCGATCAACGCATTCCAGTTTATTAACAATTATTAATATTGGCATAAGTAACATTTATTGATATCGTCATAACATTGGTTAATATTGTTGTGAGTAACATTTCTGAATATTGTCATGAATGGCATTTATTGATATTGTCGTCATCTTCTGTCAGATATTTGGGGCTTTATAAGCTGAACGGAGTCGTGTGTATCTCAACAGATGCTGATTACGCTCCACTCTGGTTACACTGGTTAAGTGTGTGTGTGTGTGTGTGTGTGTGTGTGTGTGTGTGTGTGTGCTCCACACAGTGTCTGGACGAGGGAGAAGCGTCGAGGGTCATGGCTGTGCGGGTCGACAGAGGTCCACTCCTCCTCTTCTTCTTCTTCTTCTTCTTCGTCTGCCAGAACTCCTGCGACGCCTTGAGTAAGTCTAACGCACTGCTGTTGGTATGGTAACAATGCCATGTCCTTTTGTGATGGGATGTCGTCATGGAAACTAAGCAGAGGCTGAAGCTGTTTTACTGCAATGAATTATTAAAGCAGAAAGATTCATGTCTGGTGGACACTGGATTGAAATTGAGTCGAACTCTTCTGAATGGCTGTGTGTTCTTCTCAGCCCCAAATACTGAAGAATCAGCTTCACACACTCCAGATCGCTTCACACACTCCAGATCGCTTCACACACTCCAGATCGCTTCACACACTCCAGATCGCTTCACACACTCCAGATCGCTTCACACACTCCAGATCGCTTCACACACTCCAGATCGCCTCACACACTCCAGATCGCTTCACACACTCCAGATCGCCTCACACACTCCAGATCGCTTCACACACTCCAGATCGCTTCACACACTCCAGATCGCCTCACACACTCCAGATCGCCTCACACACTCCAGATCGCTTCACACACTCCAGATCGCTTCACACACTCCAGATCGCTTCACACACTCCAGATTGCTTCACACACTCCAGATCGCTTCACACACTCCAGATCGCCTCACACACTCCAGATCGCCTCACACACTCCAGATCGCCTCACACACTCCAGATCGCCTCACACACTCCAGATCGCCTCACACACTCCAGATCGCTTCACACACTCCAGATCGCCTCACACACTCCAGATCGCCTCACACACTCCAGATCGCTTCACACACTCCAGATCGCTTCACACACTCCAGATCGCATGTTCATGAGATTCAGTTCAGTTCAGTGTTGACTCAGTTCAGTTTAATAACTGTTGATGTTGATTCGTCAATTCCAATCAGCTAATAAAGAAAACGCCACTGTAATAATCGAATTCAATTCATTTATGCTATTATTACAAATGCTGTGACTGTTTTTATATTTTATTTGAAGTAGTTGTGAGAGTGTGTGTGTATGTGTGTGTGTGTGTGTGTGTGTCCAGTGCTGTTTGCTCACAATTCATTTTCTGTTTTAACCCTCACATACAAGGAGAAATATAGAAATAACAGCAGTGCAAATACAAGTAATGATAATAACATTAAAGAGAACCAATACCTTTCTACAGCGTTGATGTGTTCAGGCGCTCCTAGATCAAGTTTTCCTGCTTGAATGTTGATTATTCTCCTCATATTCTCCATTGTTGCGGCTCCTCTCTTCCCAGTCTGTCAGTAACTCTCTGTTTACTTCCTGTCTCTATGAAGCCCCTCCTCCTGAAAGCACACTGTGCTCTGATTGGTCGGCTGGAGCGGTGTGTTGTGATTGGTCGAGCGCTTCGAGTGTGTTTGGGAAATGCAACACACTACTAACTAACTCAACCAGGCCCCGCCCCTTTATTCTGCACATTAATTATTATAATGAGGAATATATAAACGTGTTCCTGGGAGAAACTCGAGATAAAGTGGAGGCGTTTCAGGAGTTCAGAAACACTGACGCTCATATAGAGGAGAACTGGAGCTTTACATGATCAAACACCACACACACACACACACACACACACACACACACACACACTGGTGAAGATGAGGAACAGCTCTATAGGCGAAGAGCTGCTCTGTAATATAAAATAACATGTTAAACAAGTGGAAATGAAACAAGAGAGCAGAGTAAATGAAGTGGGATCAGCTTTCAGGCTTTTAATTCTGATATGCTTCCACACACACACACACACACACTTGTGTCTGTGTGTCTCTCACCTGCAGGTGTGTGTGGGTTTCATGATGAGCGTCACGGATCAGCTTTGACTCGCCGCTATGGCAACAGGACACCACAGACATGATCCTGTTCTCAGAGCACTACAGCCGTGTGTGTGTGTGTGTGTGTGTGTGTGTGTGTGTGTGTGTGTGTGTGTGTGAGTGTGTTAAGTCAAGTCAACCTTTATTTATATATAGCACTTTATACAATACAAATTGCTTCAAAAGCAGCTTTACTGAGAGAACAGGACAATAATGCATTTGGTCCGTTGTTCATCTGAGGTCGTTAAGATCGTCAATTATTAAATTAGTTAATTTCATCTATAAAGCGGTTATCCAAAAAGGAAAAAGGATTAGATCTCCAGCTCAGTTCAGTTCTCATACAGCGCCGTCAGTCTGACCACTAATATTCTTGATTACTGAGTGTCCCTAACGAAGCGAACCCAAACTCTATCCGTGACCTTATAGGCCTGTTCAGACGGGGGATAACCTCTCTCCCTCGTGACCTTTACCCTTAACGGCTCAGGGAGTGTTCTGTGTTTTCTAATGCGGGGAACAGACACAGTCTCTGTGTGATGATGTCTGGGTGAGGAGTCTCTATGGGATGTGTGTGTGTGTGTGTGTGTGTGTGTGTGTATAATCTGATCCTCTCGCTTTCAGAGTCGAGTGTTTAGTGGCCTTTATGAGTCCGTCAGGCCGGTGTTTAGTGCATCACTCACACACTCTTTATGCTCTTACTGATATCAGGACGTGTAAAAGCGTCTCTATTTCACTGTCGTTACACCAATATGGATCTTTCAATCGCCGACAACAATGAGCAGACTGATATTATAACGTCATTATATGTCCAGTCAGATTTATTTCTCCAGTACAGATCGTTTCACAGGCGTAAATAGGAGAATATCAGAATCAATGATGCAAATTTGATCAAATATGAAACAAATTCAGCTCTACAGAAGATCAGTCATGAATCACATCAGCTCATCTATTGTTCTTATAGTGTATATTACTGAATAATTACTGAACTATCTGTTTCACATAAATGCAAAAATTAATTTGCTTTAATGCTGAAGAGCTTTTTGAGATCAAGTGTAAAGTTTGTTCTCCTCATTGCTGTCGATCTCCAGGTAACACAGAGACGAGAGTGTAAAAGCTAACGATGGTTAATGGATGAGGTCGTCTCTCAGTAACGGTCGTGTGTGTGTGTGTGTGTGTGTGTTGCAGCGGCTCCTCAGTTCGTCAAGGTCCCGATGGATCAGATCGGCGTGTCCGGTGGAGTCGTGTCCTTCGTGTGTCAGGCCACAGGAGACCCCAAACCTCAGGTGTTCTGGAACAAGAAGGGCAAGAAAGTCAATTCACAGAGAATAGAGGTGAGGACCACACCTGTCAATCAAAGTTCTACACACGACCAGAACACACGTCACACCTGTCAATCAAAGTTCTACACGCGACCAGAACACACGTCACACCTGTCAATCAAAGTTCTACAGGCGACCAGAACACACGTCACACCTGTCAATCAAAGTTCAATCAAAAATTATTATTATTATTATTATTATTATAGCACACGTCACACTGATCGATGGGTCCTATTACAAATAAAGGCTTCCCTTGAACTTTCTATTCAGAACCCGATAAATAAAATCTGAAGCAGCAAAACTGTTTCCTTACACTGATAATATAATAATAATAATATGTGTGTGTGTGTGTGTGTGTGTGTGTGTGTGTGTGTGTGTGTGCAGACAGTAGGCCACTTTTCATTCTACTCCGGGTTGATGAGTGTGGGGGCGGGGATGTTTGTTTTTGCACGCGTATTAAAAGCGCAAGTGCGTTTAAACATCAAGCCACGAAGACTAGAATTGGTGAGCTGTTTTCTGCCAGCCTTCCTAATGCGTATTTTTGTCCCGCCAAAGCCATATTTGACCGGTAAATGATGTAGATGAGTGACTGGTGCGCTTGTTTAACTGAGGGAACAGGAGAGAGTGAAAGCACCGGTCACGCGCGCCGTCTTCAAAATGTCTTGCTCTCTCTCTCTCTCTCCCTCCCTCCTGCATGTTTATGAATTGAGTTGACTGAATATCTTTGAGAATACACGACGGTAAAAGGTGGGAAGACCGAAGTTTTTTTCTTCTGAACTACTGGTCGTGAATTGTGAAACCACACTTTCAATAAACCAAAAAAATCTATCTGTTGATGAAATGTTTTCTGTGTCGACTGTCGAGACCATAGACTGTAAAAATAGGTCGAGACAAATCTCGTGCGATGTTCTAAACTGCCTGGATAATCACAACCTGTACCGTGGTTCCGTTAATGACACGTCCGATTCGCGAACTAATGACTCCTTTGAACCGATTCACTTTAATGAATGGTTAAAACAACTGATCTGTCCAACACTGAGCTCAAGAGACATAAATCGGAAACACTTTACAATAAGGTTCCATTTATTAAAGTGCACATTAAATATACACTTAAATAAATGGAACCTTATTGTAAAGTGTAAGGTTAATAGATTAATAGAATGTTAACAAATTTTGTTAACATTCTATTAATATTAGTTTCTATGCAGATTTACTCCATGACAAAACTACCCCAGTCATTCTAGAATGATTCATTCTTTCCAAATAGAGCAATTCAAGTAATCTGGTGAAATTGTTTTTATATCACAATATATATCGCAGAAAAATAAAATATCACAATGTCATTTTTTACCAATATCGTGCAGCCCTAATCCTCGCTATGTGTTTTCTATACAGGGATATCGACATCGGTAAATATCGGTATCGGCCATAACAGCAATGTTAATATCGGTTATCGGTATCGGCCACAAATTTTCACATCGGTGCATCACTACAAATGATAATAGAAACATGATCTGGAATAAAGTTATTAGACTCACCTTGTAAGTCATTAAAGGGCATATTGCAGGTTAGAGGACCCAACGAGTCAATGCATAGAAAAACAATGTAGGAACTAGATTTTCTTTAAAATATACGTATAAACACGCCACAGAAGCTTTTGCAGTCGTTTTTGTGAGAAAATTTTACTTCCGCGTCTGAAAATGGGCGTGGCGGGCGTGACGCAATGAGCGGGAGAGTGGTCGATTCACACAACAGGAAAACAATGAATCGCATGACATTTCGGACGCTGAGGAAATACTCGTATGACGGATCAAGCCATAAAGTTATGAGCCTGCTATGCTAAAGAGATCAGGGACAGGCCAGGATAATGTCAGACAGAATGGTCAATTGACCTGTGATGTGAGGAGAACCAGTGGAGAACAGGACAGGTGCCTTTTAGGTGAGAGACGTGCTTATAGTATACACGTTCGCCAACGATACACTGTGCTCACAATATTGTACAGATTATTATGATCCTATAACAGGCCAGCAGACATTAGTATGTTTAGGGTAGATTTATATACTATTAAATGTATAAAAACTTTACTTGAGTATATTTCTATACTAAAAGCATAGGCTATACTCGGGTAAATTTTTAATACATATTTTTCACCTTGGTTATAACATAAACAGAACATTAAAGGTTTGAGTATTTAAACAACCAATTTTGTTTTTCAATTATAAGTTCTATTTAGGGCATGACATGACTAAGTTACCTATATAACACTATTTGATGCCATTGGTAGTATACGACGATCAATATTCTTGCTTCGGCATACCATGTTGAACTCCATCATATATAGCCGGGATGCTAATCATTTGATCTGAAGTGAACGCTACACACGACCGCGTTTCCCGAGCCGATGCAGAGGAGAAACCCCGTCTCTTCACCTGCTCAAACCGCACCAGGAACGAAAGATAGGCTATATAGCACCGTCACTTTTATTGTAATGGAAACTTGTGGACTCGATCTTGAAGTCCTGACAGGCTGGAGTTTTTGCAATCTCCACAAACACAATAATTTACCATGACGATGATAAATTAAAATGCAAAAACTAACGATAGCACACTGACTGACGAGCGCTCTCACTGAACACCAGCCTGCTCTCACTGAGCCGAGGCTGCGGCTCCCTGATATGACGTCAAATGACGCGATGTTGAAAAAAAAGCCGTTTTTACTAGCAGTCCAAGGAAGGCTCACTTTATCTTCTAAATTAGTGTCCTTATGTTGTTTTAAAACATTTTAAATCCTGCATTAACTTTTCATGTGGTTTTTTCATACAAGGTTATCTATAAATTTCGATTTTTTTTTTTTACCTGCAATATGCTCTTTAAAGAGTAAATAAACAACACATTGATTTGATCATTGATAACTGTCTGTCTGCTTGTGAACTGATGTTGCTCTGCTGTGATTGGTGGATGTCTGCTCACTCTGCTCTCTCATTGGTCCAGACCATCGAGTTTGACGAGGGGGCGGGGGCAGTGCTTCGCATCCAGCCACTCAGAGCGCCTCGTGACGAGAACGCCTACGAGTGCGTCGCCAAAAACACTGAAGGAGAAATCACTAAGACCTCCACACTGTCCATCATCAGAGGTAAGATATTCCATCTTCATCATCATCATCATCTTCATCATCATCATCATCGCCTGTGCACGATCCTGACGAGAGCCTGATCAATCTGTTGGTCTGGGAATGAAGTGTGTTCCATCGGCAGTCACAGTGTTTAGTGAAGCGCAGACGCACGGCCACCGTCACACACACACACACACACACACACACAAGACTCCGGTTCACCTTTGAAGAACCAATGAAGGGGTTTAAACCATCGACAGTCCAGGAAACGGCCATGAATCGAGCGGTTTAATCAGATTTGGGCAACAATTATTCACATCAAAAATAAAAGTCTGTGTTTACATAATATACGCGTTAGTACTGTGTATATATAAATACACATTTTATAAATATTTGCATGTATATACTGTATATATAATTTATATTGTATATAAATATAAATATTTTATATATAAATAATACTGTATATAATAATATATACATGCATGTGTGTGTATTTATATATACAACAAAAAAGTCATACACAGTACACACACAGTGCTCTGAGGTGTAATGAGGAGGAGGAGGATGAGGATGATGAAGGCTGGTCGACTGGAGTAGCAGATAGGGACAAAAGGGGCAGATAGAAAGTGTGTGTCTGGGGAATAACACACACATCTGTCACTGTTGCCATGGAAACAGCCTTAAACACATGTTTGTGTGTGTGTGTGTCTCTAGCTGGTTTCACTCTCAGCTCATGACCTGTGTTCTCCTGCAGCTGAATCACACCCTCATCAGTAGTGTTGTTTAGATGTTGTTTAGATGTTGTTTAGATGTTGTTTAGATCAGCGCTTCTGCTCCATAAACTGACTGACACACCATTCTGATTTTATTTCTGTATCTGAGCTGCTGTTAGTCGCCGTCCACAGCTGTTGTCAATCTGTCACACTACACACACACACACACACAGACACAGATTAGTTGGTTGCACTTTTACTGGTCACCCTTCATCCACCAAACAACATCATTATGCGGCTTTAATCACCAGCATCAGTGTGTGTGTGTGTGTGTGTGTGTGTCGTCGTCACTGGCGTCTGTGTTCTTCTCCTCCGTAAACACACGGGTTTATCCGCTTCTCTCAGCCGGACCCGCAGGGACGCACCGTCTGTTTTTATTGTCCAACAGCAAATGTTCATTAAAAATGTATAATACGCATAATGATTTTTTTATTTATGTCAGTCATTTTTGTCATACAGAAGTTTCTGCCAAGATCGATTAGTGTGAAGTTCATTCATTTTGTTGTTTTTTACGGCACATTCAGCTGATTTAAAACTGTCACGAAATCAAAACGGGCAATTCTTGTTTGTCTGTTATATCGCAGTGTTTATCAGAAGTGATTTATCAGAGTCCATCATTATTGTGTTAATAAGGTTGAATCAGAATCAGTTCCTCTTGCAGCATCTCTCTCTTCTCTGATGATGTGGGCGGGGCTATAACCTGTCACTGACATGAGATCAGCCAATAGCAAACCACAACCATCCAATCAATTCCTCACAGACACAATCAAGCCCCGCCCACATGTGTTCTTATTCCTGAAGCGTTTCGCTCGATATACGGCATTATAGAGGAGAAGAGACCAGCGCAGCTCCCCCTTCATGCCAACAGTAAAGTCTAATGTGTGTAATTTGCCCCAGTGTGTCGGCTGCCGGGTCCTGACCCCTGACCTCTGACCCCTGTGTGAATAAGAGCCTGTAGTTCATCCTTGTGTTGCTCACATCGGCCTGAGAGCGTCTCCTGTATGTCGACGAGCTCTTGCTCCCCAATATAAGCGAAGCCTGGCCTTTACGCTGGTGTTTGCCGTCCCTCCTCATCTCCGCTGACTCTCTAATTAAAGCCAACAAATAATTAGCGGCGCTGCAAACACGCGGCTGTGTAACGTGTAATTGATGGTTAGGTGAGCGTGTGCGCAGTGATTATGAAGGTATAATTACAGCGTTCCAGCGCCAGGCGTGTGTGTTGCTCCCATTACCTCTGATCATCTCAGTGGTTTGGAGGAGACGACTGGTTTATTTATACCAGCGTAATGAATCCGCCCGCTGACAGGGATATCGGTGTGAGCCAGTCTGGATCATCATCTCCAGTCCCGCGTGTGTGTGTGTGTGTGTGTGTGTGTGCCGCTGATGTGTGTTAGTCACTGCCTCCCGAACACTGAGCTCATGTTCATCCCGCGGGAAGTGTCCGACAGCTCATGCTCGTGAACCTGGATCGTAAAATAAAGCAGTGTTTGTTTTTTAAACTGTGGTTCGCAGAAAAGTCTTGAGTAAACTGTGTAAAAATCATATTTCTGTCTTTTCAATAACCTTTGCAAGGATGATCATATTTGGTGTTCCAAATGTTGATGTTTTGGTTTATTGATCAGCCTCACATACAACGATGAGTTCGGCTCCTTTAAAGTGTCCTTTTCTCATTGTTTCAACAGATTTCCTTCCTCACGTCTCATCAACCTAACATCAGCTTTAACATAACCATAACTATAACCATAAATATAAACATAACTATATCAATGTTCACAACTATAACCAGAACTATAACCATATCAGCATTCTGGAGTTTTTGATCTAATCTGTCAAACAGATTTGCAGTAATGTCTGAATGTTTGTGATTCATCTCGATTCATGCAGACACCTCACACCAAAAATAATTACAGGATAAAAGACAGAAAACAGAAAGAGCACCAGATGATGTTGATTTTTAGGGTCTTTTGTCATTTAACAACAAGACTAATCTATGTAAATATATCTATAACAGTCTGCAGTGTTGTGTCCATCACACTCTTGTGCACGAGTGATCATCTGAGCGTCTCCTCCGTAATTCATGTTTTGTTCGGGTGTGTTTCAGAGGACCTGCTGCCCACCGGCTTCCCCAACATCGACATGGGTCCTCAGCTGAAGGTGGTGGAGAGAACCAGAACCGCCACCATGCTGTGCGCCGCCAGCGGGATCCCCGACCCCGAGATCTCCTGGTTCAAGGACTTCCTCCCCGTGGAGCCGGCACTCAGCCAAGGCCGAATCAAGCAGCTGCGATCAGGTACGATCCTCACGAGACCCTCACAGGGTCCTCATGAGATCCTCACGAGATCCTCACGAGATCCTTACGATACCCTCACGAGATCCTTACGAGACCCTCACAGGGTCCTCATGAGATCCTCACGAGATCCTCACGAGATCCTCACGAGATCCTTAAGAGATCCTTACGGGATCCTCACGAGATCCTTTCGAGACCCTCACAGGGTCCTCATGAGATCCTTACGAGATCCTCACGAGATCCTTACGAGATCCTCACGAGATCCTTACGAGATCCTCACGAGATCCTTACGAGATCCCCACAAGATCCTCGCGAGATCCCCACGGGATCCTCACGAGATCCTTACGAAATCCTTACGAGATTCTCATGAGATCCTCACGAGATCCTGACGAGATCCTTACGAGACCCTCAAGAGATCCTCTCGAGATCATCACGAGATTCCCACTAGATCCTGACGAGATCCTTACGAGATCTTCACGAGATCCTCACAAGATCCTTACGAGATCCCCTTGAGATCCTCACGAGATTCCCACGAGATCCTCACAAGATCCTCACGAGATTCCCACGAGATCCTTACGAGATCCTCACAAGATCCTTACGAGATCCCCTTGAGATCCTCACGAGAGCTTCGTCACTGTGGTTTCACAGTCAATCTCTGCTTCCCAACCGTCAAAGACTTAACAGAGCAGCCATCAACTGTTAGACAGTATTCTAGGTTATTATGTGAGGAGGTTTTTGGTCCATTTATTACAATGTCTGTTTTTTCAGAGTATAGTAGTAGGAAATTACTAGTCATCTAATTTTGCATGTCAGCTATGCATTCCGTTAACTTTGTGAATTGGTGCGTTTCGTCAGGGCGTTAATAAATATAGAGCTGAGTATCATCAGCATAACAGTGAAAACTAATGCCATGCTTCCTAATGATATCTCCTAAAGATAGCATGTACAGTGTGTGTGGGTGTGTGTAGCATGTACAGAGTGTGTGTGTGTGTGTGTGTGTGTGTGTGTGTGTGTGTGTATATAGCATGTACAGAGTGAACAGCAGCGGTCCTAGTACTGAGCCTTGTGGTACGCCATACTGAACTTGTGATCAATAAGACATCTCTTCATTTACTGCTACAAACTGGTAACAGTCAGATAAGTGTGATTTAAACCTTGCTAATGCATTTCCACAAATGCTAACATAGTTTTCTTGTCTATTTAAAAGAATGTTCCTCTCCTAATGAGCCCTGTGCTTTAACCTGTGAACATTTTTGAGCACATATCTGAACTTACCTTGCTTTGGCATACAGATCTACACTCTTAGAAAAGGATCAGTGGAGTTCTCTATGCAACCCTTGGGTTCTTGACCCAGTTTTAAACAAGAGTGTAAGGTTGCTCTCTGATGAAACACTTATTGCAGATCTGAAAGCATTTGAAAACATGAAAAAGTCAAAAATTTGTTTACCGTAAAACAAATGAAATGCAATGTATTTGACTATGAAATTGCTATAAAATAAAAGTCATATGTCCAACCAAGATCCAAATATTAAGTTTATATCACAAAAGTGTAGTCGCGTGCCGGCACCGTTAGCCTCATGGTCTTCGGGCGACCTGAGTTCGAACCCCGGCTCGTGGACCTTTCCCGATCCCGTCACCCATCTCTCTCCCACCTCGCTTCCTGTCCACTCTATACTATCCAATCACAATAAAGGCAAAAATCACCAGAAAAATAAATAAATAAATAAATAAAAAGGTGTCACTAAAAGGTTTTAATGTGCCGTTTCAATGTTAACGTAATGCCCAATTTCAAAACAGTGAATTGTGAGTGTTTAAAGTCCCCCTGTGGTCAATAATCTTATCCCGTAAAACTCATCTTTAATCACTGAAATTACATATTAAAACGTGCCTTAAAAAAGCTTGAATGTAACTCCACCCTCGCCTCATTTAGTATTTGCTGTTCTATGAATATGCAGATTAGCCCCGCCTCCACTCACTCACTCAGAGATCCACTGGTGGACGATCACACATTGATCTGATTGGTTACGAGGTGGTTTGTGACGTCAGAAACACCAGCGACTTCAAAGTGTGTTTCTGAGACTGTCTTTGGTTCACTGCAGTTTTAAGGAGGAAATACTCAGCAATGCTGTCCACTTATCAACGCACACACGGTGTGTGTTATTACAAACACCTCATAGACACATAAACAACATTAAAAGCTTTAAGCTTTCAAATAAGCCATAGTTTCTGATGATGGCTGAACTGTGCAGTCGTGTGGGAGGGACACATGCTAGACTGCGGGAGTGTGTGATTGTGGATCTGCGGCCTCTCGAATGACGGCGTTTCAGATCAGTGTAATAACGCTGCGGGACTCTTCAGCGTGTGGATGATGAAGTGATTAGCAGGTCTCCTCTATTACGCTGGGGTTTGATAGGTGGTGATTTCTGAAATGACCACTTACTTCAAGACTCGCCCGCAGCTGGAGCTCCAAGCGACTCGATGGCTGTAAACACGGGCCGGAAATGTCCTTGATTTGCGCTGACACATGTAGAGGGAATACTGGTATGGGATTCGTTGTTGGAAGTGTTTTTAAACTTTGATTCATCCTGTACCAGTTTCACATGAACACAACACACAACCGATTCTCACGTACATTACACATTCTTCAAAACTAAAGCTTTCAAAAGGGATTTTTCACATTGACACGATAGAAGAACCTTTCAGTGATCAGTTCTTAAACACTGTCTCAGGAACTGTGGACACTTGAGGAACAGTTCAACATGATGATGAGATGGTCAGTGTGACTCCACAACAACTACACAAACGTCTCCGCGAACATTCAGAAACGTGTAAAAGTGAAGCTCTCCCTGAGTCTCTCCGTAAGGCGGAGCTAAAGCTGCTGTAACTCCTGATCCTGGATCAGTGAGATTGCTGTTATTATATATTATATGACATCTTGTGCACATTTAAAAGAGCCATTTTTTCTTAGTGTGAAGAACATTTTTATAATCTAAAGAAACTTTTTCACCAAAAACAACCTTTTCATGGTTTCATAGACGTTGAAGGTTCTCCGCCGATGCCTATAAACAACCTTTATTAAGAGTCGGGAATCTTCCCGTTGCACTGAACATGGTTTATAGTGGAAAAGGTCCTTTAGATTATGAAAATAATCTTCACACTGAGAAAATAAAGCGTGTTTTTAAAGAGCTGATCACTGACAGGTTCTTTGGGAGATGGTTTGTGATTGGTCACTGAGCGCATGAGCAGTTGTGGATGTCCTGAGTGTGTGAGTCGACGAGTGTGTGAGTCGACGAGTGTGTGAGTCGACGAGTGTGTGAGTCGACGAGTGTGTGAGTCGACGAGTGTGTGAGTCGACGAGGGTGTGAGTCGATGAGTGTGTGAGTCGATGAGTGTGAGTCGATGAGTGTGAGTCGATGAGTGTGTGAGTCGATGAGTGTGTGAGTCGATGAGTGTGTGAGTCGATGAGTGTGTGAGTCTATGAGTGTGTGAGTCGATGAGTGTGTGAGTCGATGAGTGTGAGTCGACGAGTGTGAGTCGACGAGTGTGAGTCGACGAGTGTGTGAGTCGACGAGTGTGTGAGTCGACGAGTGTGTGAGTCGACGAGTGTGTGAGTCGACGAGTGTGTGAGTCGACGAGTGTGTGAGTCGACGAGGGTGTGAGTCGACGAGTGTGTGAGTCGACGAGTGTGTGAGTCGACGAGTGTGTGAGTCGACGAGTGTGTGAGTCGATGAGTGTGAGTCGATGAGTGTGTGAGTCGATGAGTGTGAGTCGATGAGTGTGAGTCGATGAGTGTGTGAGTCGATGAGTGTGAGTCGATGAGTGTGTGAGTCGATGAGTGTGAGTCGATGAGTGTGAGTCGATGAGTGTGTGAGTCGATGAGTGTGAGTCGATGAGTGTGAGTCGATGAGTGTGAGTCGATGAGTGTGTGAGTCGATGAGTGTGAGTCGATGAGTGTGAGTCGATGAGTGTGTGAGTCGATGAGTGTGTGAGTCGATGAGTGTGTGAGTCTATGAGTGTGTGAGTCGATGAGTGTGTGAGTCGATGAGTGTGAGTCGATGAGTGTGTGAGTCGACGAGTGTGTGAGTCGACGAGTGTGTGAGTCGACGAGTGTGTGAGTCGACGAGTGTGTGAGTCGACGAGTGTGTGAGTCGACGAGTGTGTGAGTCGACGAGTGTGTGAGTCGACGAGGGTGTGAGTCGATGAGTGTGAGTCGATGAGTGTGAGTCGATGAGTGTGTGAGTCGATGAGTGTGTGAGTCGATGAGTGTGAGTCGATGAGTGTGAGTCGATGAGTGTGTGAGTCGATGAGTGTGAGTCGATGAGTGTGAGTCGATGAGTGTGAGTCGATGAGTGTGTGAGTCGATGAGTGTGAGTCGATGAGTGTGAGTCGATGAGTGTGTGAGTCGATGAGTGTGAGTCGATGAGTGTGAGTCGATGAGTGTGTGAGTCGACGAGTGTGAGTCGACGAGTGTGAGTCGATGAGTGTGTGAGTCGATGAGTGTGTGAGTCGACGAGGGTGTGAGTCGATGAGTGTGAGTCGATGAGTGTGAGTCGATGAGTGTGTGAGTCGATGAGTGTGTGAGTCGATGAGTGTGAGTCGATGAGTGTGAGTCGATGAGTGTGTGAGTCGATGAGTGTGAGTCGATGAGTGTGAGTCGATGAGTGTGAGTCGATGAGTGTGTGAGTCGATGAGTGTGAGTCGATGAGTGTGTGAGTCGATGAGTGTGAGTCGATGAGTGTGTGAGTCGATGAGTGTGAGTCGATGAGTGTGTGAGTCGATGAGTGTGAGTCGATGAGTGTGAGTCGATGAGTGTGAGTCGATGAGTGTGAGTCGATGAGTGTGAGTCGATGAGTGTGTGAGTCGATGAGTGTGAGTCGATGAGTGTGAGTCGATGAGTGTGTGAGTCGATGAGTGTGAGTCGATGAGTGTGTGAGTCGATGAGTGTGTGAGTCGATGAGTGTGAGTCGATGAGTGTGAGTCAACGAGTGTGAGTCGACGAGTGTGAGTCGACGAGTGTGAGTCGACGAGTGTGTGAGTCGATGAGTGTGAGTCGATGAGTGTGAGTCGATGAGTGTGTGAGTCGATGAGTGTGAGTCGATGAGTGTGAGTCGATGAGTGTGAGTCGATGAGTGTGAGTCGATGAGTGTGAGTCGATGAGTGTGTGAGTCGATGAGTGTGAGTCGATGAGTGTGAGTCGATATGAGTGTGAGTCGATGAGTGTGAGTCGATGAGTGTGTGAGTCGATGAGTGTGTGAGTCGATGAGTGTGAGTCGATGAGTGTGAGTCGATGAGTGTGTGAGTCGATGAGTGTGAGTCGATATGAGTGTGAGTCGATGAGTGTGTGAGTCGATGAGTGTGAGTCGATGAGTGTGAGAGTCGACGAGTGTGTGAGTCGACGAGTGTGTGAGTCGACGAGTGTGAGTCGATGAGTGTGAGTCATTGAGTGTGTGAGTCGATGAGTGTGTGAGTCGATGAGTGTGAGTCGATGAGTGTGAGTCGATGAGTGTGTGAGTCGATGAGTGTGAGTCGATGAGTGTGAGTCGATGAGTGTGTGAGTCGATGAGTGTGAGTCGATGAGTGTGAGTCGATGAGTGTGAGTCGATGAGTGTGAGTCGATGAGTGTGAGTCGATGAGTGTGTGAGTCGATGAGTGTGTGAGTCGATGAGTGTGAGTCGATGAGTGTGAGTCGATGAGTGTGAGTCGATGAGTGTGAGTCGATGAGTGTGTGAGTCGATGAGTGTGAGTCGATGAGTGTGAGTCGATGAGTGTGTGAGTCGATGAGTGTGTGAGTCGATGAGTGTGAGTCGATGAGTGTGAGTCGATGAGTGTGAGTCGATGAGTGTGAGTCGATGAGTGTGAGTCGATGAGTGTGAGTCGATGAGTGTGAGTCGATGAGTGTGAGTCGATGAGTGTGTGAGTCGATGAGTGTGAGTCGATGAGTGTGTGAGTCGATGAGTGTGTGAGTCGATGAGTGTGAGTCGATGAGTGTGAGTCGATGAGTGTGTGAGTCGATGAGTGTGAGTCGATGAGTGTGAGTCGATGAGTGTGAGTCGATGAGTGTGAGTCGATGAGTGTGTGAGTCGATGAGTGCGTGAGTCGACGAGTGCGTGAGTCGACGAGTGCGTGAGTCGACGAGTGCGTGAGTCGACGAGTGTGTGAGTCGACGAGTGTGTGAGTCGACGAGTGTGTGAGTCGACGAGTGTGTGAGTCGACGAGTGTGTGAGTCGATCAGCGTGTGAGTCGATGAGTGTGTGAGTCGAGGAGTGCGTGAGTCGACGAGTGCGTGAGTCGACGAGTGCGTGAGTCGACGAGTGTGTGAGTCGACGAGTGTGTGAGTCGACGAGTGTGTGAGTCGACGAGTGTGTGAGTCGATGAGTGTGTGAGTCGAGGAGTGTGTGAGTCGATGAGTGTGTGTGTGTGTGTCAAAGTGAGAGTCGATGAGTGTGTGAGTTGACGAGTGTGTGTGTGTGTGTGTGTCGACGCTCTGCGCTTCGATCTCCATATGTAGATTTATCTGGTAAGTAGTCGTGGAATAAGCCGGATCATGGACTGTTGATTGTATGTTGTCTCTCGCTTATACACGCACATGTATTTAGATACTATATATACATAAATCTAATCCATAAGATTGATGTATATGATGTGATTATATATAAAATACTCATATATAATCAGCTTGATCTGTTGCATAAAGTGCATTTGAGCCGCTGTCACTCAAAGCTTTCGTTGTTTTTTTCTCATTGTGTGTGTGTTTTCTCATTCGCTGTGTTCTCAGGAGTCTTTGGTGAGTATCAGTTTATTCTCGACCAAACTCTCCTCCGTCCCAGAGTGCTGTGCGCTCGTCCTCTGATGAACACGACCCCTGACCCCTGACCCTCCTAATGAACGGCCCTCATTTCTCCTGTTCCCTAATGAGAGCTGAAGCACGCGCACACACACACACACACTCACGCATACGCACGCATCGAGTCTCTGATTGGAGCTTTATGTCGCTGCTCTTCTTAAAGGGGAACTCACCTGAATCAGATCCTCCTGTCTTCATCTTTATTCTCCTCCAGTCCTGCTAACTCTGAATCACTGCATTCGTTCTGCTGAACATGAAAGAAGACATTTTGAAGAATGTAACCACACAGAAAAAGTACAATTAACTTTCTGAAAATGGCTTCATGTTCCACAGAAGACAAAAGCTGAAATGTTTATATGTTTGTTTCTCTGACTCCATTGGCAGATGTTTTTTTTAATCATAAACTCACTTCATTTTGATAGATTTTTGACTTAATATCTTCAGTCACCCATCTCCGTTTGTCCCGACTCCGTGTTCCCATGATGCTCTGCTTCTGTTCCTCTCGTTTCTCCTGCACTGACTGTACTCCCATTCAGTGACGTCTCTGTTCACAGCAGTGAGTGTGTGTGTGAGTGAGTGAGTGTGTGTGTGTGTGTGTGTGTGTGCGTTCAGTCATTACTGAAGGCTTTACTGTAGTGTTTCCTGTCTGAATGTCCTGAGTGTCGCTCTGTCCTTCACACACTGTTTGAATGGCAGAACTGAATCCTGAACAGATTCTGTAGGAGTTGATCAACTTCTGCCCACGTTTCTTACATTACATGACGAAACAGAAGGATGAGTCAGTCTCTGCTGCGATGCCAGAAACACCGGCTCATCTTCTGTGTGTGTGTGTGTGTGTGTGTGTGTGTTTCACTGATCACATGTTCATCTCTGCTGGATCACAAGCTTTGATCTGATTGGCTGTTACGCAACTTCCTGGAGTCTGTATGTATCCCGGAGTGAGAAACAGAGGTTATAGTTCTGGACTGGCTGAAGGGTATCATGTGACTCAGATAGCCCCGCCCCTGAGCTGTGATTGGCTGTTTTAGCTGTCATTCAAACTCACTGAGTGTAACTTTATGTAAAGCTGCTTTAGTTAAATTGAATTTGGTTCATAATTGATGATTTTTGCAACATGAACATTATTATTTGCCTGCTTTGAATGCCTAAATGGATTTAATGAATGAAAGAATGGCAATCCAATTAAAAATAATGGAGGAATATAAAACTATTTAAAGTTTGTTGATTATACCTTTTGAAATGTCATTCATGAGAGTGGGCGGAGCTAAAGAGCTCTGATAAGCATCAGAGGAACAGCATTATGGGTAATGGAGACTTTCACCACAGAATTCTGCTATTAAACATGATTATTCTAAAAATAAGTTGAAAAAATGCAAACAGATGGTTTCAACAAAAACATAAACCATCAATTAACAAGCATAACCTCGTAGGTCACAGAAGTCTGACTTTAAACATTTATCAGGTTTTGTTCAAACTCAGTTTCCCTATGGTTTTTACTTCCATAACGAGTGTTTTTAATAAAGCGCTGTATAAGTAAGTGTGTCTTCTGTCAGTCAGAGGCTGAAGCGCTTGTGTGGGTTGTAGATCAGGAGGAAGGGTTCAAACCGTCATGAGATTATAAATATTAATGCCCTGTTTGTTCTCTCTCTTTCCCTTACTTCTTATTTTCTCCTCCATCTTCTGTCTGTCTGTCTGCCTGCCTGTCTGTCTCTCTCTGCCTGTCTCTATCTCCGTCTGTCTCTCTGTCTGTCTGTTTGTCTGTCTGTCTGTCTCTATCTTTCTGTCTGCCTGTCTGACTGATTGACCTGTCTGTCTGTCTCTGCCTGTCTCTTTCTCTCTCTCTCTCTCTCTCTGACTGATTGACCTGTCTGTCTCTCTGTCTTTCTGTCTCTCTATGCCTCTCTCTCTCTCTCTCTGCCTGATTGACCTGTCTGTCTCTCTGCTTGTCTGTCTCTCTGTGCAGGAGCGCTGCAGATCGAGCGCAGTGAGGAGACGGATCAGGGGAAGTACGAGTGCGTAGCTTCTAACGCTCAGGGCGTTCGCTACTCGTCCCCTGCTAACTTATACGTGAGAGGTATGAAACACAGTAGGTACTCCGTAGGTAATACACTCTCTCTCTCTCTCTCTCTCTCTCACACACACACACACACACAGCGCAGCCAGCTTCTTTAATTACCCAGCAGCCTCTGCAGCACTGATCAAGCACATCTCCTGATATATACTGCTTTACGTTATTATTCTTTATTAGTCTGCCGCGTCTGAAAGCATGCTCTAGGAACGCTTTGCTACCCGTCAAAGGAAACTGAAATTAAAACTAAAACCATAAGAACATATTTTTGGATGATAAAGGTTAACTGACGTTAATTTTCATTTAGTTTCATTTGTTAACTTCTATACTGAAATAACTAAAATTAAAAAATAAAACTTAATAAAAACTATAGATAACAAACAACTTAACTACTAAAACCTTTTTTAACAAAATTAAAATGAAAACGGAAAACACAAACAAAACACAAATACAAACTAATTCAATGTATTGATAAAAACATCTCAAAAATACTAAAGTAACCAGCAAATTACGAAAACATTATTTCTGAATGTTCAGAAACATCCGGATTTTTAAACGCTTTAAAAACTTTTCTTCTTGGTTATATGAAAATTTTACTTATTTAACTTATAACTTAAAATTTAAATTATTCATCCACGACTCTCAGCTAATCGAAGCATTAAACAAGCCAATTTATTTGAAATTAATTGGGTTTACAGGCATGTAAATGTTTCTCTAAACTCGATTAGTGATATTAGCGGCGGGTGGGAGCGGAAGGAGGTAATGAGTCGCGGATAGGGAAGAGCGGGATGCGGTAATGCTCTAGGGAAGAGCGGGATGCGGTAATGAGTCGGTGATAGGGAAGAGCGGGAGATGCGGGAATGAGTCGAGGATAGGGACGAGCGGGAGATGCGGGAATGAGCGGGGGTAGGGACGAGCGGGAGATGCGGGAATGAGTCGGCGATAGGGACGAGCGGGAGATGCGGCAATGAGTCGGGGATAGGGACGAGCGGGAGATGCGGGAGTGAGTCAGGGATAGGGACGAGCGGGAGATGCGGTAATGAGTCGGGGATAGTGACGAGCAGGAGATGCGGTAATGAGTCGGGGATAGGGAAGAGCGGGAGATGCAGGAATGAGTCGGGGGTAGGGACGAGCAGGAGATGCGGGAATGAGTCGGCAATAGGGACGAGCGGGAGATGCGGTAATGAGTCGGGGATAGGGACGAGCGGGAGATGCGGTAATGAGTCGGGGATAGTGACGAGCAGGAGATGCGGTAATGAGTCGGGGATAGGGAAGAGCGGTAGATGCGGGAGTGAGTCGGGGATAGGGACGAGCGGGAGATGCGGTAATGAGTCGGGATAGTGACGAGCAGGAGATGCGGTAATGAGTCGGGGATAGGGAAGAGCGGGAGATGCGGTGATGAGTCGGGGATAGGGACGAGCGGGAGATGCGGTAATGAGTCGGGGATAGGGACGAGCAGGAGATGCGGGAATGAGTCGGGATAGGGACGAGCGGGAGATGCGGGAATGAGTCGGCGATAGGGACGAGCGGGAGATGCGGTAATGAGTCGGGGATAGGGAAGAGCGGTAGATGCGGGAGTGAGTCGGGGATAGGGACGAGCGGGAGATGCGGTAATGAGTCGGGGATAGTGACGAGCAGGAGATGCGGTAATGAGTCGGGGATAGGGAAGAGCGGGAGATGCGGTGATGAGTCGGGGATAGGGACGAGCGGGAGATGCGGTAATGAGTCGGGGATAGGGAAGAGCGGGAGATGCGGGAATGAGTCGGGGATAGGACGAGCGGGAGATGCGGGAATGAGTCGGCGATAGGGACGAGCGGGAGATGCGGTAATGAGTCGGGGAGAGTGACGAGCGGGAGATGCGGGAATGAGTCGGGGATAGGGACGAGCGGGAGATGCGGGAATTAGTCGGGGATAGGGACGAGCGGGAGATGCGGTAATGAGTCGGGGATAGTGACGAGCGGGAGATGCGGTAATAAGTCGGGGATAGGGAAGAGCGGGAGATGCGGGAATGAGTCTTGGATAGGGACGAGCGGGAGATGCGGGAATGAGTCGGGGGTAGGGACGAGCGGGAGATGCGGTAATGAGTCGGGGATAGTGACGAGCGGGAGATGCGGTAATGAGTCAGGGATAGGGACTAGCGGGAGATGCGGGAATGAGTCGGGGTAGGGACGAGCAAGAGATGCGGGAATGAGTCGGGGATAGTGACGAGCGGGAGATGCGGTAATGAGTCGGGGGTAGGGACGAGCAGGAGATGCGGGAATGAGTCGGGGATAGGGACGAGCAGGAGATGCGGGAATGAGTCGGGGATAGTGACGAGCGGGAGATGCGGTAATGAGTCGGGGTAGGGACGAGCGGGAGATGCGGGAATGAGTCGGGGATAGGGACGAGCGGGAGATGCGGGAATGAGTCAGGGATAGGGACTAGCGGGAGATGCGGGAATGAGTCGGGGATAGGGACGAGCAGGAGATGCGGTAATGAGTCGGGGATAGTGACGAGCAGGAGATGCGGTAATGAGTCGGGGATAGGGACGAGCGGGAGATGCGGGAATGAGTCGGGGATAGGGACGAGCGGGAGATGCGGTAATGAGTCGGGGATAGTGACGAGCGGGAGATGCGGTAATGAGTCGGGGATAGGGACGAGCGGGAGATGCGGCAATGAGTCGGGGATAGGGAAGAGCGGGAGATGCGGGAATGAGTCGGGGATAGAGACGAGCGGGAGATGCGGGAATGAGTCGGCGATAGGGACGAGCGGGAGATGCGGTAATGAGTCAGGGATAGGGACTAGCGGGAGATGCGGGAGTGAGTCGGGGATAGGGAGGAGCGGGAGATGCGGGAGTGAGTCGGGGATAGGGACGAGCGGGAGATGCGGGAGTGAGTCGGGGATAGGGACGAGTGGGAGATGCGGGAGTGAGTCGGGGATAGGGACGAGCGGGAGATGCGGGAGTGAGTCGGGGATAGGGACGAGCGGGAGATGCGGGAGTGAGTCGGGGATAGGGACGAGTGGGAGATTCGGGAGTGAGTTGGGATAGGGACGAGCGGGAGATGCGGGAGTGAGTCGGGGATAGGGACGAGTGGGAGGTGCGGGAGTGAGTTGGGATAGTGATGAGCAGGAGATGCGGGAGTGAGTCGGGGATAGTGACGAGCGGGAGATGCGGGAGTGAGTCAGGATAGTGACGAGCGGGAGATGCGGGAGTGAGTCAGGATAGTGACGAGTGGGAGATGCGGGAATGAGTCAGGGATAGTGATGAGCGGGAGATGCAGTAATGAGTCGGGGATAGGGACGAGCGGGAGATGCGGTAATGAGTCGGGGATAGGGACGAGCGGGAGATGCGGTAATGAGTCGGGGATAGTGACGAGCGGGAGATGCGGGAATGAGTCAGGGATAGGGACTAGTGGGAGATGCGGGAGTGAGTCGGGGATAGTGACGAGCGGGAGATGCGGGAATGAGTCGGGGATAGGGACGAGCGGGAGATGCGGTAATGAGTCGGGGATAGTGACGAGCGGGAGATGCGGTAATGAGTCGGGATAGTGACGAGCGGGAGATGCGGTAATGAGTCGGGATAGTGACGAGCGGGAGATGCGGTAATGAGTCGAGGATAGGGACGAGCGGGAGATGCGGTAATGAGTCGGGGATAGTGACGAGCGGGAGATGCGGTAATGAGTCAAGGATAGGGACGAGCGGGAGATGCGGGAGTGAGTTGGGGATAGTGACGAGCGGGAGATGCGGTAATGAGTCGGGGATAGGGAAGAGCGGGAGATGCGGGAGTGAGTCGGGGATAGTGACGAGCGGGAGATGCGGTAATGAGTCAGGGATAGTGACGAGCAGGAGATGCGGTAATGAGTCGGGGATAGTGACGAGCGGGAGATGCGGTAGTGAGTCGGGGATAGGGACGAGCGGGAGATGCGGGAGTGAGTTGGGGATAGTGACGAGCGGGAGATGCGGTAATGAGTCGGGGATAGGGAAGAGCGGGAGATGCGGTAATGAGTCGAGGATAGGGACGAGCGGGAGATGCGGTAATGAGTCAGGGATAGTGACGAGCAGGAGATGCGGTAATGAGTCGGGGATAGGGACGAGCGGGAGATGCGGGAGTGAGTTGGGGATAGTGACGAGCGGGAGATGCGGTAATGAGTCGGGGATAGGGAAGAGCGGGAGATGCGGGAGTGAGTCGGGGATAGTGACGAGCGGGAGATGCGGTAATGAGTCAGGGATAGTGACGAGCAGGAGATGCGGTAATGAGTCGGGGATAGTGACGAGCGGGAGATGCGGTAATGAGTCGGGGATAGGGACGAGCGGGAGATGCGGGAGTGAGTTGGGGATAGTGACGAGCGGGAGATGCGGTAATGAGTCGGGGATAGGGAAGAGCGGGAGATGCGGTAATGAGTCGAGGATAGGGACGAGCGGGAGATGCGGTAATGAGTCAGGGATAGTGACGAGCAGGAGATGCGGTAATGAGTCGGGGATAGGGACGAGCGGGAGATGCGGGAGTGAGTTGGGGATAGTGACGAGCGGGAGATGCGGTAATGAGTCGGGGATAGGGACGAGCGGGAGATGCGGGAGTGAGTTGGGGATAGTGACGAGCGGGAGATGCGGTAATGAGTCGGGGATAGGGACGAGCGGGAGATGCGGGAGTGAGTTGGGGATAGTGACGAGCGGGAGATGCGGTAATGAGTCGGGGATAGGGACGAGCGGGAGATGCGGGAGTGAGTTGGGATAGTGATGAGCGGGAGATGCGTCTCGTAGGCCAGTGCTGCAGGACGCTAACACTGATAACGGTTTCTTCATTTTTGTTTGTTTGTATGTTGTGAATTACTAATCAAAACTAATTGACTTCAGTGCTCACTAAAATCATGACGCACGACTAAAAGGTCTTTGCAGTGTGTGTGTGTTTATTTCTCAGTTTGCTTTCTTTATGAAGTGAGTTTCTCAGAGTAGAGCAAGGCCAAGCTACGATGTCTCTGATATTTGGGACTGTATATGAATAATAATGCTGCCACTCAAACACACATTGATTGAGGAGAGAGTTGAAGATTGCAGTGGCCTTTTTACTCTCTCTGTGTTTCCCTGGTTTTCTCTCTGCTTTCCATCTCAAACCCCTTACACCCTCAGAGCTGCGAGAAGGTTGGTGTTTTTTTTTTTTATTTGCTCTCTTTTCTTTTGTTTGGCATTTAAAGACAGAGAAATAAATGTCAGTCAAGCAGTAAACAGTGATGGTAGTCAAATGTACAGCGCTGCAGACAAGGGTCATGTCAGTCTGGTGTGTTGCATTGTGGGATTGTTTGCAAACCTGCTCGGAAGGCCGTGGAAACCCAGCAATTGGAAACCAGTGAGTGTGTGCACGAGGACAGATGCATGCCTGAGCGTGCAGCGTTGTGATTGGCTGAGGTGATCTCATCTGTCTGTGTCTCTGCATGTGTGTGTGTGTGTGGGCATCAGCTTCGATCGATCGCTCTGAGGCATCAGTTTTATCGAAGCGCTGATCGGGCTGATGGCTCATCGACAGCTGTCAGTCAAACGTCACACGATCAGAACGTTTCTGTGCACTTCAGTCACTCCTGAGTTACATTGATCGACATTAACACAAAACTGACTAGAAATCCCTGATGAATCGCATTCAGACGTTCATGAGTGAGACTGAAGGGGAACAGATCATTTCTGATTCAGTATTAATATTTGTGTGCGTCAGCATCATCTATCGATCTGTCCTGTATCCTCTCTGTCCTCTCTCTGGATAGTTCAGCGTTCACCAGTTCATGACTGATATCTATGGAAGCTCGTTTCCGCCACAGAATAAAAATGTAAAAATGTAATTGCCACTTTTTATCTTGCAATTCAGATTTTTTTCTCATATTTGCAAGTTTATATCAGAATTACATGATATAAAGTCACAATTGTGAGATATAAACAAAGTTTTTTTCCTTGGACTTTATAACTCGCAGTTCTGAGAAATAAAGGATGAATTGCAAGATGTAAACTCGCAATTGTGAGATAAAAATGACCTTTTAAAATGATTTATTTTGTGATGGAAACAAGCTTCCATAAATATCTGTTACTGTAAAAAATTCCTCAGTGTTTCTGTCTCGTTTTCCAGCACAAATATATAAACATTCTCAAATCAAGAGACATTTACTGGAGAAGAAAGATATTAATATCTTCAGTCATTTTGCTTCTTCTCCAGTAAATGTATCTTGATTTAAGAGTGTTTATATATTTGTGCTGGAATAAGAGACAATGATAGCATTTTCCGCAGTGCAGAGCTGAATGATTCGGCTCATGTATATTAATATTGTGAGCTTCACTCTGAAAGTTCACAAACAAGTCTTACATGACACGGCGTGTAATCCCATACGGAGAGACAAACTCTGACTGTTTGACTCGCTCTGAAAGCCGCCGCTCTCAGCATGACAGGCGATCCGATGGGATCAGGATCATAATCCCGGATCACCTGTGCTCTCGGAGTCACCCCCGCTCCGGGTTCATCCGTGTTCATGAGTCTCGTAGAGAAGCTTGCCGTTTGTTCGGTCTCTTTGTGTTGTCTGTCTCTGTCAGTGTCTCGCATGAGCTGCATGAAGCCGTGTTTCATCCCGATGTTCCGGGTTTTTTTAGGAAAAGTCAGTTTGTCATCAGAGAGTGGCCTGTTTTCATTCTGTCATGGCGATGAAGCGCTCCTGGAGAACTGTTGAGAGTCAGATCAGCTGTTGGAGAGATCGTGAGTGAGGCATGAGGAGGAGAGAGAGCGAGACCAACATTCACGGATCCTGAACTCCGACCGGGTGATGTCATCGCGTCCCGTCGGCATCCCCACGCCCGGGCCGTAAGCCGATCCGCCTTTCAGCTAGAGGAAAGATTGCCTTTGAGATAATTCATTGTAACGGGCTCGACTAACATCGGCTAATCTAATTCCGCTTCCCAATCGTTGCCGAGATCAGATGTGCTCTTCCCAGCCGGGCCGATCGTTCCCGTCGCTCTGAAGCTCCAGCGTTTCAGAGATTCTGCACAATCGAGGGTCGTTTCAACTCAAATATTCACATTTCAGTCTGAACTCTTTCCACACTGATCTGAACTAACCCTTTCACTCATATAACCACAAACTAATCATAACTGGGAAAATCATGCTCTTCCACAGTGTTTCTGTCTCGTTTTCCAGCACAAATATTTAAATATTCTTAAATCAAGAGACATTTACTGGAGAAGAAGAATGACTGAAGATATTAAGATTTGTTTAATGAACAACAAATTTCAATTTCTTTCTTCAGTTGAAAAGAAATGAAGGTTTTTGAGTAAAACGTTCCAGGATTTTCTCCATACAGTGACTTCAATGGGGTCACAGTAGCCCCGCCCGCCCGACGTAACCCTGACGTGGTGAAAGAACGCTTCTAGTCTGGTAAAGAGTCGGTGCCGCTGTGGAACCAGTTTTCCTGGCCGAGAACCGGTTCTTTGGCTGTCGAAACACAACCAACTGTTTCGTGAGTGGACACCGGCTCCGAACCGGCTCTCCAAATGCTTTGGTGGAAAAGGGGTAAGTATGGAGAAAATCCTGGAGTGTGTTCCTCAAAAACATTCATTCACACATGAACATCTTGGATGATGTGAGGGAGAGTAAACGATCAGGAGATTGTAGTTCTGAAGGGAACTCCTCCTTTAATTCAATCCATCGCAGGTATTGTTCGTGTTTTAGGCACAAACTCACTGAATATCTTCATCATGTTGCGTCCCCTCCAGTGAATGGCTCTCGGTTTGAGACGTGCGCTGGACACACTGAGGAAGAGTGTGTGTGCAGTGTGAGCTGTTTCTGAGCATGAAGCACGAGTGTTTATGGCATGTTTCTGCTGTTGCATGATCGTGACCGTCTCGTGAACGCATGAACGCACTAACGGATTAACCCTGTAGACTGTAAATGTAGTGTGTCCAATTCTGGGTGTCCTCCGGCCACTATCACAGTTACGCATTTTAACCTGCCAATCAAAACTGATCTGAGGTCTGTCAGACACTGGTGTTGGATTTCCCCTCTTTGCTGAAGTCGTAGAGTTAAGAGGTTGACTCCCCATAAGCCCCGGTCTGGAGTCGTCAGGAGCAGAGCCGGGCTTCCAGCTGTTGAACTTCTTCAAGCAGTGTTTCATTGTTCCGTGAAATCAAACTCACATTTCTCTTATTTTCAGAGCGCTCGGATCAGTCTCATGCGAAGCACAGTGTTACTGAGATGTACTAGTGTCTCGTTCACCCAGAAATGATCGTTCGTCCGTCATGTACTCTCCCTCGTGTCGTTCAAACGCAGTATTCTGTGGAAAACTTGAACAATAATATATTTGTTATGACAGATTGATTATTTTTGGGTGAACTGTGTCTTTAATTTAGAGATAGCATAGCAACACCCTAGCAACCATTCAGTACAACCCCATAGTGTCGCCGTGGCAACCACCCATGGTGGTGGTGAGTTGTGCATGTTCACACACATCTAGTTTACATCAGCGTTACAAGTGTTTCCAGTTGCCCTCGCTCTTTATTTCTGTCCATCTCTATCCCTCTCTCTTCCCCCCCCCTCTCCCTCTCTCTCCTCCTCTCTCTCTCTCCTCTCTCTCTCTTCTCTCCTCTCTCCCCCCTCCCCCATTTTCTCTCTCTCTCTCTCTCCCCCTCCCCCCTCCCCGTCTCTCTCTCTCTCTCTCTCTCCCCCCTCCCTCTCTCTCTCTCTCCCTCTCTGTCGCTCTCTCTCTCTCTCTCGCTCTCTCTCTCTCTCTCTCTCTCCCTCGCTCTCTCTCTCTCTCTGCTGCTTTTCCCAACACCTCTAAGAATTCAGAAAGCTGTAGTTTCAGTGCGTCTCTCTCTCTTTTATCTCTGTAACACATTCTCTCGCCCTCTTCATCTGTGTTTGTGGATGTGGGTTGGCAGCGCTCCACGGTAACTGAGTGGATTAGCATAACTTCCATGGTTTCCACACTTGCTTGCTGTCTCTTTTATTTATTTGTTTCCTCAGTCAGATGTAGATCTTCCAGGAGTAAACGCAGTATTTCCCTCCGGAGCGGCAGAGTCTGCTGCAGAACAATCACATCCGTCCTACAATATAGCACACACACACACACACACACACACACACAGACAGCAGAGTAATGTTCAGCTAGCAGTCTAAGGTTAGAGTAGTGATCTGATCTCTCGGTGTGGTCGTGAATCGGACGGTTTGGCCTATTGAGCGTGTCACACACTGGTTCACATATTGACTAGTAATGTTTCACCCTGTTGACGTCCCTGGTGCTGAACGTGTGTGTGTGTGTGTGTGTGTCCCTGTAAGCGTGTTCAGGCGTGCATGTGACCCGTGTAGCGCTTCAGTCTCCGCCCCCGGCGCCGGCCATCGAGTCGGGCAGACGCTGATCTCAGATCTGCAGGCGGCTCCTCTCGGGGCCCATCTGGGGTTCTGAAGGGTTCTGAAGGGTTCTGCAGAGTGTAAGAAAACACGGCTCTGACCTTTAGCTTGAATGGAGATTCTGCTTTACATTATTATTCAGTTCCCTCTGTTAGTCAGCGCTTATATTTAGAAACGTGTCCTTTTAGCTGCTTATCTCGTTTCCAGTCCAAATATTCAAACATTCTTAAATCAAGATGCGCTTATTAGATGCTGCGTTGAATAAAATAACATAAGAAATTCTATCTTTTTTTCTGATAAAAAGAGATTTGAGCATGTCTTAGGTCATTTCGTCACATCTGTGTACACACACACACTCATCTGCACACACACACACACACTCATCTGAGCACACACATCTGTACACATAAAGAAGAGTCTCGGCTAGTCGGCTGTATTGTGTGTGAGGATGCTGGAGGTGGAGATTTATAACCTTTATTGCCTCACAGCACTGGATATAATTAAACTTATCAATTTGATGGCGGATTCAGAAAGGTTCAAACGACGATCACCAGACAGCAGATTCACCCGCTGTAAAACGCAAAACTTCGTTCAGACTTCGGAAACACAGTCTCTTTTTTCTGCAACCGGCCCATGCGAAAACAAGGGTAATATCGGAAGGACATTACATGTCACGCAATGTTGATGTTGAACATTAACAATTTGAGAACAAAGTATAATTTGCATGGATTTGCATGATATGATAACTTTATGATAACTAAGCGATTGTTAGATTTAATCCGTGCGATTTACTGCAATGTCAGAATCAGAACAACGGTGGATGTTTCTTACTAGCTCAGATGATATTTTCCGGTGAAATTTCTCATGTTGGTCATACTTCCAGAGAGAATAATCTAGAATAATCCGGCGCGGTGACTGACAGCCTCCTCAAACACCGTGTTCATCCACGCTGTGCCGTGTCGAGGGTGTTGAAGTACAACTCACGTAAAGTTGATAATTCCGCGAATGACTGCGATTGCAGATTTCGAACAGAGATGGCGACAAAGAGGAAAAACGCCTGACTGCAGCTTAAAAACAAGCTAAATTATCTGCCAATGGAGTAAGAAAAATAGTCTTGTTTTCAATTGGAATTAAGATTTTTTTTGTCTTACCCCACTGGCAGATCATTTAGCTTGTTTTAATCAAAAACTCACTTATTTTTCATCAGAAAACGAGATATGAATTCTTATGTAATTTTCCTCGTCTCGTGAACGCATCTTGATTTGAGAATGCGTGTGTGTTGCTGTACACGCGAGCGCTGCGTGAGGAAGGCCTGTGGCGATGGCTCTGGTCCGGGTTTGCTTGGCTGGGGTCGTTACCTCGCTGTCCTCTGTCTCCCTCTCTGTGCTCCAGTCCGCCGAGTTCCCCCCCGCTTCACCATCCTTCCCAGCAGCCACGAGATCATGCCGGGCGGCAGCGTGAACATCACCTGCGTGGCGGTCGGCTCGCCCATGCCGTATGTGAAGTGGATGCTGAACTCCGAGGACCTGACGCCGGAGGACGAGATGCCCGTGGGCCGGAATGTTCTGGAGCTGAACGGCGTGCGCGAGTCGGCCAACTACACCTGCGTCGCCATGAGCAGCCTGGGCATCATCGAGGCCGTGGCGCAAGTCATCGTCAAGTGTAAGAACCAGAAGCTTGTGTAGTTCCTACCAGCCGTTTCTTGTAGTCAAAGCAAAACATCTCCCTTTGCTTTTAACTTTGAGTCGTAACTTTGCAGATGTTGTTTGTGCTCAAACAGCAAAATTACAACCTAACGAAAGATAAAAAGTGAAATCATAATCAACCACCCCTTTAATGCTGATGGTGCCTGTGAATCTCTTTAGGAAAGATCAACCTCTGAGCAATGCAGATGTCTCTCTCTCTCTCTCTCTCTCTCTTTCAGCTTTACCCAGAGCTCCTGGCACCCCTATCGTCACGGAGACGACCCCCACCAGCGTCACCATCACCTGGGACTCTGGCAACCCAGACCCCGTCTCCTATTACATCATCCAGTACCGTGCCAAGTCCCCGGACAGCAAGTTCGAGACGGTGGACTCCATCACCACGACCCGCTACAGCATCGGCGGCCTGTATCCCAACACGGAGTACGAGATCCGCGTGTCCGCCGTCAACACCATCGGCCAGGGTCCGCCCAGCCACCGGGTGGAGGCCCGAACCGGAGAGCAAGCGCCCGCCAGCCCGCCCAGGAACATCCAGGCATCTGCTTTCAATTATTACTTGCTTTAAATGAATACTTTTGCATGTGCACATTTCTGAAATGCATACAGATAAATTGTAATGTGACTCATGATCTTTGCTTTGAGATGTCGTGTATTGTGAAAAGCGCTATACAAATAAACGTGAACTGAATTCCATCCAGGCGCGCATCATATCCCAGAACGCCGTGATGGTGCGCTGGGACGAGCCGGAGGAGCCCAACGGGTTGATCAAGGGCTACCGGGTGTATTACACCATGGACCCCTCGCAGCCAATGAGCAACTGGCAGATCCACAACGTTCAGGACAGCACGATCACGACCATCCACAGCCTCGTGCCGTCCGAGACCTACACCATCCGCGTGCTGGCCTTCACGTCCGTGGGAGACGGGCCCTTCTCCGACCCCGTTCACGTCAAAGTGCGGCCTGGAGGTGAGCAGGAGAGAGCGCGGTCGAGTCTCGCAGATCGACACGAAGGCTGTTCACACCGAGAGCGAGAACTAGATTTGCTTTCACACCAACGAACTGAGAATGAACGTGCACGCGCAGCCCATTTACGACTGGTTGGAATTCACTAACACACACACATTTCACTATCACATCTGACGTTTACGAAGTATTTGTAAATCAGGAGAAGAGTTTTCGGGAAGGTCTCTTTACGCGCAAATCACTCTCATATTTACTCGTATATTTACGAATGTTTCATGAATGAGACCCAGTGTGTGTGCAACGTTTGCTTAATGCGTTTACAGGCTTTAACCAGTAGATATCCTTGGCACGCTGCGTTTCGAGTGAAGCTAGTGTAATCGATATAATAATCCAACTACGAATTTAGCTGACGTAGTCAATATAGTGGGATTAAAACAACACCTAGTCTTTTTCACCGCAACTTCTGGTGAAGCAAGAGAAAGGAAACGAGCGCTGGAAACCTGAGGTAATACTTCGGGTTTCTCAGAGGGTACGAACGATTGTTTTCCATATCCACCGGTGGGTTTGTCTGGACCTCGGCGATTAACTTCTCTGAAATTTTAAACGTGTGCGCCCTTCAATTAGTTACGAAAGTGTTCGTTATCGTTATAGTTTGTGGTTTGAACTGTGAACTCTTCTATTGTGTAATATTGAGAATGATTTTTAGAACTATATCTCTGTCGTTATCTCGTTATCGTCCTTGGTGTGAACGGGCCTTAACCCTTTGAGTTAATCTGCACGGGGGAAGCTCCCCATCACACGGATTCCTGTTGGCATGACTGGGCCGTCATGTGGTCTAACCGTAACACGTTCCTGTGACATCACATCACACGCCGCTCTCGATGGCGTCACGAAACTGAGTGGAACATCTCTGCACTGTTCCTTCAGTTATCGTGTCCTTTGTTTCTGATCTGCGTTTCAGTTCCTGGGCAGCCGGGGAAGTTCACGGTGGGGAAAGTGACCGACACCAGCGTGGAGTTGACCTGGGATCCTGCGTACTCCAAAGAGCCTGTGAAAGCCTACGAGCTCATCTACAAATCTCCAGGTCTCGGCGTTCAGGTGAGAACGGGCTCGACTACGAATCGGCATCGACCTCTGAACCCACGGAAGGATGGCGCGATGCAATTTAGAGGAACTGAAATAGACTGAGCCGTTGACCCACTGGACCCTGCCATAAAGTCAATGGCGCAATTTTTGTTTGTTATTTAAAGAGTAATTATATGAGCCTACAGGCGGGTCCACAACACGCTACACTTTGTCCAGTAGATGATTGCGCTTTAACTTCTCTCTCACACACACACACAGCTTTAATCTCGCTCACGAGCAGATCCGTTTCTTTGCTTTAGTAGCTTGCAAATTCCATTATGTAAATAGTGAATCCGCCATGCGAGTGCGAACTGGCTTTTAAAGGGAATTGGAGACGAGACTCTGATTGGTTTATTGTACGTTACGCCCCAAAACACACCCTAACTCATTAGAGAATAGAGACAAACCATCGGCAACAGTGGATTCAGACGTCCTAAGTGCTCTTGCGCTGTGTGCTTTAGAAATGAGCTTCGATCATGAAAATAGTGTTGAAATCATCTTTCTGTCCAACAGGAGAAGAGGAACTTTGAGCCCAGAACGGCGTATGTGGTGGAGGGTCTGCGCGCAAACACCGAATACACCTTCTCTCTGGCCGCCGTTTCCAACAAAGGCATCGGAGCGTTCACCAACGAGATCAGCCAGCGCACGGCGCAAGCAAGTATGTGTGCGAGCCTCCGTCCCTAAAGAGACTGCTGGAGCCGAGTGATCCACTCATGTTGGTGAAGCACATTAACCTGTTCCTGACCGCGTGTGACGCTCTGGTCCTCCGGGCTGTGCAGAGCATCTTCGATCTGCGTTGGCTTTGCTCAGTCGTCGTTTTCAGAGCGGAAGCGGAAACACAACTAATATCTGGCGGTGTAAACAAACTATGAGCTGCGGGGGAATTCAGTCGCATGCTGAAACACACACACACACACACTCGGTAATGTGCTGGTGGTGTCGTTCATTTGCACAGGCGCTATTCAAATCAGATAATGGCCCAAAAAAGCTCTGGCCGCTCATCAGAAGCACATGTTCACAAACAGCACACCGCCTGCTCGTGTGGCGTTTAACACTCCTGCTGAAGGGGATTGTTGAGAAAGATGTTTTTAGGCACAAACGGTTGAATTCCTCCCCAGTTTAGTTTATTCATCCTTCCCTCCATCCCTCCATCCATCCATCCATCCATCCATCCGTCATTGAGAAATGTGTGTGTGATGTTTATGTCCACCAGTATTTCCAGGAGATTATTGAAAAGCAAGCCAAAGCCACCAAACTGGACGGGATTTGTGTTTTTAATTTCTGCCTTTTCACCTCTTTCTTCTCTTCCTCCTTCAGTCTAGCTCTACTGTGTGTGTGTGTGTGTGTGTGTGTTGGAGTGTGTGTGTGAGTGCTCCTCAGTAACGCTGCTGAAGCTGGTGTTTTGCAGGATGGTTAACGGTAAGTGAGGAGGATGAGCATCTCAACAGCCGTAAGACTCTTCATGATTCCTGTATCCCGGATCTGTGCAGCTGATCTATTATTCATTATCCGAACACAGTCCTGCCGTTTGACACGCTGATGAACGGTACGAATATAAGCGTCTCGATCATCATCTGGTTCTGATGAGTCCGGCACAAACACACACACTCACTCACAGAACGCAACTACGCATCCGCAGTTCTCTTTTACGTGTCATGTTCTATAAACGCTAATTGAATCATCGCTTGTCAGATTAATGATTGTGTTACGGGAGTGTGTGAGAACAGAGGCTGGTCACGGGTCGGCGGAACCGAGAACCTTACGCTTTGATTGATCGTGAGAAAGTCTCGGATCTCTTGTTAATTTTAATAACTCTCTCAGCTCTCGTTGTCGTTCAGCTGGAAAGGTTTCAGTCAATTAGGCTGACGGAGAGCAGAGCCTCGCATTAACCGCAGTATTAATGACAGATAATACCCACAATTCTATACTCTCCTATTCTACCGAGACTGAAGCTCAGAGAAATTGCGTGTGTGTGTGGGCGTGTGTGATTATATACGGTGGAGTTGAGTGATATGTAGATTCTCAGACCGGTTTCTAGCGCGTGTAACCGGCAGAATGGCTCTTGCTGAAGTTCGGCTGTTCTTGAAGCCAGACTGTAGCTGTTTAGCAGATGTGTGTATCCGACGGAGGAACATGACCAGCAGTGTCGGATACACACCACTGCAGACTCAGAGCTCCTCCTCGGCTCATTCGTCTCGCGGGAGCCGGAGGACCCTTACGCTCCTCCATAACCCGATGGGTTTCAGTCATCACCATCTGGTCAGGAATCCTGATCCTGGACCGATGCGTCGCTCCATCCATCAAGCCGTGTTTCCATGGCAACAGCGCTCCGCCACACTCTCGGCGCTGCTGTAATTAGATTGCCTGTTCTGGTCAATATGTTGATCAGATGCTTGTCTTGAGAGCGATTCTGACAGATTCCTCCATCACTGCATCACAACACATCTTTCATTTCATTTTGCCTCTTTCTTCCTTTGTTTGCATCATTTATCTTTTGAGTTGAATTTAATTTGAGCCTCATAATTTGTTTTATTGATCCGTACTATTTTTGTAGCCGCATCCTCTGCGTTTGTCTTTATGTTGTATTGATTTATTTTTGCTTTATTTCTGTTTTCTCCTCCTCCACATTCCTCAATGATCTTTCCTCTCTGTGTTGTATTTTCGACTCTTGCTCTTCCTCATCCTCCTCCTCTTCCTCCACCTCCTCTTCTGTTCCTCCTCTTCTCGTCTTTCTCATCCTCCTCTTCTGTTCCTCTTCTCATCTTCCTCTTCCTCCTCTCCCACTCCTCTTCTTTCTCATCCTCCTCTTCCTCCTTCTCCTCTTCTGTTCCTCTTCTCGTCTTTCTCTTCCTCCTCTCCTCTTCCACCTCTTCCTCCTCTTCTCCCACTCCTTTTCCTCCTCTGCTCATCCTCCTCTCCCACTCCTCTTCTTCCTCATCCTCCTCTTCCTCCTCCTCTCCCACTCCTCTTCTTCCTCATCCTCCTCTTCCTCCTCCTCTCCCACTCCTCTTCCTCCTCTCCTCCTCCTCCTCTTCTGTTTCTCCTCTTCCTCTTCCTCCTCTCCTCCTCCTCCTCCCCTCCCTCCTCTACTCTTCTTTCTCCTCCTCCTCTCCTCTTCCTCCACCTCCTCTTCTGTTTCTCCTCTTCTCGTCTTTCTCTTCCTCCTCTTCCTCCTCTGCTCTTCCTCCTCTCCCACTCCTCCTCTTCCTCCTCTCCTCTTCCTCCTCCTCCTCCTCCTTCCCTTCTTCTACTCCTCTTCCTCCTCTCCTCCTCCTCCTCCTCTTCTGTTTCTCCTCTCCTCTTCCTCCTCCTCCCCCTCTCCCACTCCTCTTCCTCTTCTCCTCCACCTCCTCTTCTGTTTCTCCTCTTCTCGTCTTTCTCTCCCTCCTCTTCCTCCTCTGCTCTTCCTCCTCTCCCACTCCTCTTCTTCCTCATCCTCCTCTTCCTCCACTCCTCTCCTCTTCCTCCTCCTCCCCCTTTCCCACTCCTCTTCCTCCTCTCCTCCTCCTCCTCCTCTTCTGTTTCTCCTCTTCCTCTTCCTCCTCTCCCACTCCTCTTCTTCCTCATTCTCCTCTTCCTCCTCTCCTCTTCCTCCTCCTCCCCCTCTCCCACTCCTCTTCTGTTTCTCCTCTTCCTCCTCTCCTCCTCCTCCTCCTCCTCCTCTTCTGTTTCTCCTCTCCTCTTCCTACTCTCCTCCTCTTCCTCCTCCTCTCCTCCTCTGGTCAGAGCCCACAGCTCCCCCGGCTCAGGTCCGTTGCTCCTCCATCAGCTCCTCCTCTCTGTCGGTGAGCTGGGCTCCGGCGCCGGAGCAGAACTCGCCGCTGCTCGGGTACGAGGTGTGCTATCAGCTCAGCGGCGGCGGAGACTCAGTGCAGACGCTGCGTCTGGAGCCGACAGCGGGACAGGCGCTCCTGAAAGGCCTGCGGCGCTGGAGCTCGTACCTCCTCACGGTGGCAGCACTGACGGAGCAGGGCCTCGGACCCCAGAGCCAAGCCGTAGAGTGCAGAACCGATGAGGACGGTAAAATCAGTCAAACCTCCAGAGCTTCATAAAGTACAGATCGTGTCACAGTAGTAAACAGGAGAATTACAGAATCAGACTTCATCAGATATGAGACATGTTCAGATTCAGCAGTAAAGCAGGTCTACAGAATGTCAGTGAGTCATTATTCAGATGAAACACTCAAGTCTGCTGTGAAGGAGGTTCTTCAGCATTAGATCCCTCTTCTAATCTAGAGCTGATAGATTCTTCAGGTGCTTTTTTGTAGATCAATAAAGGTCTTGATGTTTCATTAGAGGTTCTTCAGATCAGTGACTTGATAATAATCATCAGTGACTATAATTAAGAGGAAGGAAGGGTAATATAATAATATAATCTAGTACAAACCTAGTATAATGCTGTAATCGTCAACTATGCAAATGTGGTAATAATGCGTATCTACGTTTCCAAATACAGGCTGCGTTCACTGCATTCATTCACTGTGAACTGAGATGCAGAGCTGATCAAAGCCTTACACTTTCACACTTAGTGAAATGGCACAAAAAACAACATTAAATACCTTTTGTGTTATTATGCGACGTTTAAATATATACTATATTGCCAAAAGTTTTGGGACGCTTGCCCTTACATGAAGCTCTACACACTGTTCATGAGCTAATCTGAAGGCCACAGCAGTCTGGAGGTCTGTAGCTGTTGACAGAAAGTTCTTCTGTGCACCGTAAGCCTCAGGTTGCGCTGACCCGCTCTGGGATTTCACGTGGCCTACCACTTCATGGCTGAGCTGCTGTTGTTCCCAATTGCTTCCACTTTGTTAATACCAATAACAGTTGTCTGTGGAATATTTAGTAGTGATGAAATCTCCTGAATGGACTTCTTGCACAAATGAAAACCGATCGCAGTCCCACGCTTGAGTTCCCTGAGCGGAGGCGTGTCCCAATACTGTTTGGCCATAAAGTATATATTCGGGCCGCCACAGTCTAGATAATAACTGGGAAGCACTGAAATCTGTTTGTGCTGGTCAGTCTTTATATTTTGGCTTCTCAGATAAATCAATGTATGGGAAACACTGCAGATTCAACTTTTAAGTGTGTGTGTGTGTCTGTGCGTGTATCTGTGCATGTGTGTGTTCAGTCCCCGGAGCTCCGCCCCGTCAGGTGGATGTCCAGCCAATAAACAGCACCTGTGTTAAAGTGTCGTGGCGCTCTGTGTTGCCGGGGCAACGGAACGGGCAGATCCGCGGTTACCAGGTTCATTACGCGCGTGTGGAGAACGGGGAGTCACACGGCCTGCCGCGCATCAGAGACATGATGCTGGACGACGCCCAGGTGAGGTCACGACCCTGGCACACCTCAAACTGATTTACATAATCTGCCAATAATTCTTATCCAGCTGATTTTGCAGTGTAGAAGAAAGTGAACGTACACGACAGTGAAACAGAATAATAATTTTTCCATTAAATTCACAAATGGTCACATTCATTCTTATGATATATTGCTGTTAGGTGTGGCTTTTGTAGTTTTTAGATCTTGTATTCTAGTATTTAGATCTTTAGTTTTAGATGTTAGTATGGATTGAGTATGTTAGTATGGATTGAGTATGTTAGTATTGTGAGCTGATCTGAATGAACAAACTACAGTCTGTTCTTTCACTAAATGAATCTCACCCTCCTCTTCTCCTCCTACTCGCCGCCTGCTCATCACTGGATCTCTCACGTGTGTGTGTGTGTGTCGTCCTGCCGTTAGAGGGACATGGATGAGACGGCACAATATGTGAGTATGAGCTTCAGCTTGTGAAAGAACGGCAGAGACTGAAACATGTCAGAGTCCAGGAAAAGGAATGAATGAATTACTGTAGGAATGCATGAAAGAATGCATCAATGATTGAATAGGGATTAATGAAGAAATGCATTAATAAATGAATGAATGAATGAATGAATGCACCAGTAACGTGATCAGAGCAGGTGTGAGGTCAGAGCTGATTGGTCAATGCTGTAATGACATCATGCCTGGTGTGTGTAGGAGCTGATCATTGAAGATCTGCAGCCGGAGACGCTTTACTCCATCAGTGTGGCGGCTTACACCATCAGAGGAGACGGAGCTCAGAGCCTCGCTCAACTGGTGCAGACACCCGTCACATGTGAGTGTGTGTGTGTGTGTAGGAGGATTCTAAGGGCTCACGCACTTTTGGGCTCCAGAGATCATTTTATTAATGGAATTGGTGCAATAGGGGCCAAACTCATGTCCTTTCATAGGTTCATGTGTGTGTGTGTCTCCTGTAGTGCCTGCTCGCCCCGTTCTGTCGGTGCATCTGGTTAACGAGACGTCGGCGTCAGTGATCTGGACGACCCAACCGTCCTCCAGCCCTCTGCAGGAGATCCGGGGCTTCCGACTGACCTACGGCCTCAAAAACCACTCGCACTCGTTCTCTGTCGACGTCAGGCCCGAGGAGCGCCAGCGCGGCGTGAGCGACCTGCGTCCTGGAGGCGTGTACTGGTTCCTCCTGGCCGCTAGAGGGCGCTCTGGCTACGGCGAGCCGGCGGAGGAGGAGCTGTCGGTGCCGGAGTTTCCTCCCAGAGGTTTCCCGCAGCTGTTGGAGCGAGCGAACGCCACATGCTGCTCGCTGCAGTTCTCCTGGATTCCTCCGGGCGGCGCTTATACGGGATACACGCTCACGTACCAGGAAGCGGAAAGTGCCGTTGAACCGCGGACGCTAACGGTGCCGGCGGACGCGTGTAGCTACACCATTCACGGGCTGAACCCGGACCAGGCGTATGCTGTGAGAATATCGGCTCATAACGGCGCCGGGTCAGGTCCGTTTAGCCCACAGGTGCGGTTCCGAACCACAGCCTTCGACACAGGTACGACTGGTGAACGAAACCCCACCCACAACCAACCCCACCCAACCAATCACAGTGGAGATGTGAATGTGGGCGGAGCACAGGTAACACGCAGCCAGCCGTTAGGGGGCGGAGTTTCGAGGTAAGTGACAGGTGTCAGTCACAGTCCATCGGAGGACGAGCACTTGAATTCGTAGTAAGACTAGAGACGTTTTCTTTTCATCCTCTATTTTGAGTTCCTTCACTTCCTACATTTCCTAACACTTCCCAGTCCAGTTTGTGGTGTGGCACATAGAAAATAAGTGTTTGTTTGTGTGTGTTTGGGTTTATGTCTCACCTCTCAACTTCCTTCCTCCTGAATAACCTTGATCCGCAGCGAGTGAATGTGTGTCGGCTCTCGGTGGATCAGCCACACCTGTGTCCGCCATACGCTCACCTTCAGCATCACACACACTATTCCCTGCACCGGCCTCGGCGCACGCGGCTCCCTCACCGCCCAGTGTGTGTGTGTGTGTGTGTGTTTGGAAGTTCTTTTAGTCCGCCAGTCTCACGTGTTGTTTGTGTCTGTGTGTGTTTTCGGACAGACGTGCCGAGGAACTTCTCTGTGAATCTGGCGACGAAGACGAGTGTGTTGCTGACGTGGGAGTTCCCGGAGAACAGCGCCCCCTATCGCTTCACAGTGAGTGGCAAACACAAATCCCTGCCACAGCTCACGCGCAGAAACATCACTCACAGTTACTAACATCTAGACAAAGATTAAAGCAAAGAAGAGTGTCACCAGAGAGGATGTTATCGTCTAAATTAAGTTAGTTTTGATTGATTCACTTCCGTTGTAAAGATCATTAGATATTAACTTAGGGGGCGCTAACACGACACCGCTAACAGAACACAGAATCTGTTGATGTGTTCTGGCCGCTCATTCACACCACAGGGTTTTGGAGGCTCTTGACTCTCTGACTCTAGGAACGCTCGTCTGGTCCTCAGGTGGAGTATAACCGGCAGAAGATGGAGGTGGACGCTCGTCTGAGGAAAGCGGTGATTCCCAACCTTCAGCCGGACACCAGTTACGACTTCAAGATCACCAGTCCCGAGGGGAACATGGGAGGACTGAGACACCGCATCCACGCCAAGACCTCGCCACCCATCCTGATCCGCCGGCCCGAGCTGGACCACACGCGAGAAGCCGAGGCCACGGTCACCATCATCCTGCCCTCGCTGGACACCCGGAGCCACGTCAGGTGCGGAGCTCACTCAGCACACGCATGCGGACACGAACCTCATGTCCACGGCATCACGTTCGCTAGCGTGCAGCTCGTGTGCTTGATGAGATTCTGAGAACTAACTAACCCTCGTGTTGCATCTGTGCCGGCAGGAACATCTATGTGGTGGTGGTTCCTCTGAAGAGAGCCCGCGGAGTGATCCGTCATCTGAAGAGCCCAGACGAGATGGACCTGGAGGAGGTACAGCCGCTCACTGTCTCATTAGCGTTAGCCGCTCACTGTCTCACTAGCATTAGCTGCTCACTGTCTCACTAGCGTTAGCTGCTCACTGTCTCACTAGCATTAGCCGCTCACTGTCTCACTAGCGTTAGCCGCTCACTGTCTCATTAGCATTAGCTGCTCACTGTCTCACTAGCGTTAGCTGCTCAATGTCTCACTAGCATTAGCTGCTCACTGTCTCATTAGTGTTAGCCGCTCAATGTCTCACTAGCGTTAGCCGCTCACTGTCTCATTAGCGTTAGCTGCTCACTGTCTCATTAGCGTTAGCCGCTCACTGTCTCACTAGCATTAGCTGCTCACTGTCTCACTAGCGTTAGCTGCTCAATGTCTCACTAGCATTAGCTGCTCACTGTCTCACTAGCGTTAGCTGCTCAATGTCTCACTAGCATTAGCTGCTCACTGTCTCACTAGCGTTAGCTGCTCAATGTCTCACTAGCATTAGCTGCTCACTGTCTCATTAGTGTTAGCCGCTCAATGTCTCACTAGCGTTAGCCGCTCAATGTCTCACTAGCATTAGCTGCTCACTGTCTCACTAGCGTTAGCTGCTCAATGTCTCACTAGCATTAGCTGCTCACTGTCTCACTAGCGTTAGCCGCTCAATGTCTCACTAGCATTAGCTGCTCACTGTCTCACTAGCATTAGCTGCTCACTGTCTCACTTGCGTTAGCCGCTCACTGTCTCGCTAGCTTTAGCTGCTCACTGTCTCACTTGCGTTAGCCGCTCACTGTCTCGCTAGCTTTAGCTGCTCACTGTCTCACTTGCGTTAGCCGCTCACTGTCTCGCTAGCTTTAGAGCCAGTATCAGTTTTAACCAAACCAGCATTTGAGATGCGTCGCGATTGGTCCGCTGGTTAGTCCAGTTATCCAATCACAGGCTCTGCTGAGGCAAAAGGGATTTATTGTGTAAGTGTGTGTCTTCTTATTGTTGTTATTATGGTTTTTACTGATGTGAGTGTTTTTGTAGTTCAATCTCAGATCTGCTGGAATGTTGTTTAAACTCCTGCGGTTCGACTTCTCCTGTCGGACGTCGTGTGTGTGAATGTGATCATGAGCGTTTGGTCGGAGATTCTCCAGATATAATGCAGGGTGTAAACACACACACACACACACGACGGGACCACACGATAACACACCTGAACCTGAGACCGTTCTACACAACACAAGATCACGTTTACATTCAGGCATTTACAGCCCTGACATGTTTACCAGTGAAAGCCTCGTCGTCCCTCAGATTGAACATGTTAATGAGGGGAAAGACAACATTTGCCTCACATTTATCAACATCACTTGAACTTTCTGTCACAGCAGCCTCAACTTGCTGGTCTAAGAGTGTATTTCTTCAGTGTTTTGACCTGCAGCAGTTTTTCCAGAGCTCATGTAACATGACACCCGCTGTAGCGATGATCACGGGATATATGAGCCGGGTGAAGCTCACACGCAAGTATTAAACAACCAATTATTGCTTCGCAACATTGAAACATAAAACTAAACAAAACTTGCTTCACTACTTTTACATATCTAACTTTAATACAGCAAACAACAGTGATCATGTTAAAGTCCCCCATCGTCAATCATCATATCCCTTATTAAATTCTTTGATCACCGAAATTACATATTTAAAAGTTTTTCCTTTTTTGCCTTAAAATATCTCGAATGTAACTCAACACCCTCGCCTCATTTAATATGCGTGGTTCTATGAATATGCAAACGAGCCCCGCCTCCACTCACTCACTCACCAATGGTTGACGATCACACGTTGATCTGATTGGTTACGAGGTGGTTTGTGACGTCAGAAACACCAGCGATTTCGTGTTTCTGAGACTCAGCAATGCTGTCCACTCATGAACTTACACACGTGTTAAAGCGGATTAAACACACCACATACACACATAAACGACGGAGCTGCAGACTCCCTCTGAGAGGTCTGGTGTGTGTGTGTGTGTGTGTTGCAGCTGTTAAAGGACATCAGCCAGAAGCAGCGGGACCCGCGGCAGCGTCAGGTGGACCTGCGGAGAGCCTACATCACGGCCCGCTTCACGCCCGCCACCCTGCCCGGCTTCTTCACGCTGGGGAACCAGCAGGACTACGGCGGCTTCGAGAACCGGGCCTTAGAGTCCGGCCAGGAGTACGTGTTCTTCATCCTGGCCGAGCTCAACTCCACCACTGGGGTAAGATGTGCCGTCTGTACTGTGTGTGTGTGAGAGAGTATTACCGTGAGTGTGTGTGTGTGTGTGTGTGCAGGCGTAACGCTCCTGTGTTTGTGTGTTCAGAAGATGTTTGTGGCCAGCCCTTACACCGACCCCGTGATCGCGCCGGACTCGGACCCGCAGCCGCTGGACGCGAGCGACGGGCTGATCTGGGTTCTGGGACCCGTCCTGGCCGTCGTCTTCATCGTCTGCATCGTCATCGCCATCCTGCTCTACAAGAAGTGAGTCTGAACCCACGCCAGATCATGTGACTCGTGTGTCAGATCCTACCGTATCTCACGACCAATTCGTACGAATTCGTACGAGTGATTCAAAAGTGGCTAATTCGTACTAATTCATACGACCTCACTCGTACAAATTTGTACGATTTGTCTAAACCCACGTGACGGTTATGTTTAGGGGCGGGGTCAGGGGTAGGTCATTCGTACGAATTCATACGAATTGGCTAATTCGTAAAATATGTACGATTTAGCTAAATCATACTAATTCGTACGAGTGAGGTCGTACAAATTGTTATGAATTAGCCACCTCGTAAAATTCGTACGAATTCCCGTGAGATCGGGTTGTCAGATCACATGCTCATAAGTTTACACCCCCTGCGAGACATTGGTAATGTAGACTAAATCTATTATTATTTTAAATGTTATCTAAAATCTATTATTATTATTTATTAATATTTAAATCGGAAACACTTACAATAAGGTGGCGTTTGTTCGCATTAGATGACTTCATACTGCTACAGTGTTTATAAATCTTAGTTCATGTGAATATCACCTAGATCAAAAGCATTGCATCTGTTCATCAGATCTGGAGTGTGTGTGTGTGTGTGTGTGCAACATGTGAAATAACTAATTATAAATATGGAAATATGCATTAATATGGTCTGCTCGTTAGAAGAGATGATGGGACTGTTCCTGAAGCGACAGAGAGAATAACGAGTGATTAAATATGTAGGAATCTGCTATTTCTGGACGGAGATAATAGAGTCAGACTCGACCAGACGAGCCAAGACCTTATCAGACTGATTAGATGTCATCTATATTATATTCACGTTGTTAATGTTAGTTGATAAACCTGTTTAATGTTAGTTCATTAGGTCCATTAACTTTTAATCATGTGTTAGTAAACTTTCCACAGACTGTGATGATGACACTTCTACAGTTATTAACACTGAACATCTAGCAAAGCTTTTTATATTTTCATTGTAAAGATGAATGTTTACAACACTATACATTGTGTTTTCTTGACTAGTTCATTCTGCTCATATGAACTCAACTTCTCCTGCGTTTGGAGGAAATGTTAACGTGATGTTTTTAACTTTAAGTTCATGCAACTCTGATGAGTTCTGCTTCCGCTAAACCTGTGAATGAGAAAACCCAGATAGCAGACTGACATTGAATCAACGTGGAAATATGACATCGAAACAATGTTGATCTGACATTGTTTTGCTCATCGAATTAACGTTGAACCAACGTCAGACGCGTCATTCTTTCAAAACTAACGGAAAATCAACTTGAAATCAACGCGTTGTTTCAACGTTATGAAAGCAAACCAATTTTCGATTTCATTAAGCTTTGAAGAATGCCGCGTCTGACGTTGGTTCAACGTTAATTCGATGAGCAAATCAACGTTGTTTCAATGTCATGAGAGACGTCGTTTCCACGTTGATTCAATGTCAGTTTGCTGTCTGGGAACACTCCATTAACATGCAGGAGTGCAGTGATGATGATGATGATGAAGACTCGTCATGAGTAAAATGTGACAAATGGAAACTCGGTAACACTTACAATATAGTTCATTAGTTAACATTAGTTTACGTATTACATTACACACTCACACACTCGCACACACACACACACACACACACACAAACTTGGGCGTAATTTTTGATTCTAATCTAATATTTGACCTTCACGTACGTAATACTGTTAAAGTTTCTTTCTTTCATCTTAGAAATATATCCAGATTACAGTCCATGCTGGTTTTTCTTGTAGCTGAAAGAATAATTAACACTCTGTTTTTTTCTAGAATTGATAATTGCAATGCCTTATTAGCAGGAGCATCGAAATCTATTTTGAACAAACAGTGGGTACAAAACTCTGCTGCAGGTATTCTGACTCGGACAAGACAGAGGGATCATATCCACAAGTTTCCGAGGGGCGCTCCTGTAAAAAATAAAGTGGGTGAAACTTCCGGTGACGCGGCGGAAGTAGCATTCCAATGGTATTTTGTGTGTTAGTTAGCGAAGAGGCTAGCTGTTTTTCGGAGAATTATTTTACTATTTAAAGACGCAAATCTTTGTGAGAGATGTCGTTACGGAGCTCAGGGACAACATGTGCTGTTTGCGGTTGTATGTATACTCGGACTAAACTAGTTCAGTGGCTTAAACGTGATTGTTTTGAACATAAGCTGAAAACGAAATCAGACTGATCCTGCCAACGACTGTAGTTTCCATCACCTCCCAAAAGACGACGAATCTTCCTGTGTACATTTGTTTAAATTCTTAATATTCTCTAAACTCTCTCAGCATGTGATTGGCTGTTCGCTACTGATGTTACTCCTAAACTCAGGTTGACAGAATACCAAATGTGCCAGTTAATGTATTCAAGAAGCACATTCATTTATAATTTTGAATAAACTCCAAAGCACAATGACTAAGTGTGTGTTTTTTATTTTAATTGTTTGTCAGCTCACACAACTGTCTGTCACCATGCCTTGATGAGTATTGATTATTAATAATGTTATTATAATACTCCCAATCAACTACTGCGGAGGGTAAAGGTACTGTTATTTCACCTTTTTTAATTTGGTTGAGGTTGTGTTCCCACATCGTTAGCTAGTTTGGATCGCTATAACTTGAATGACTGTCAACTGTTGAATGAACGAGTGTCAAGCATGTCAAGTCGCGCTTTGTTTACTTCGAACCGGAAGTCGCGCCCACTTTTGACGCAAGGCCTCATGGGGCGTAGGAAACTTGTGGATAAAACCTATTTTAGAGACCTTGCATTGGTTATCTGTTAAATTTTGTGTTGATTTTAATTTCTACGTTGACGTATAAGGCATTGAATGGACTCGCTCCTCCGTATCTTCCCGGTAACGAACCTAAAAACAGTGTGTGGTGATAGGGCGTCCTCTTCAGAACTCCTGGCCTTCTGAAATAAGATTTGCACCATCTTTGAAAAGGTTTAAATCATCCCTTAAAACTCAATATTTTACAGAAGCATTTGGAAAAAGGTGATAGCGGTGGTTGTTAATGAGATGTATCTCATGCTTTTCTCTTGATATTTATTTCTAATTTATTTTTAGGTTCGTAATTTTGTGCCAAATACTTTGTATTATCGTTGTTTATGTGTTTTCTTAATTCCACTTATGTAGAGCGCTTGGAGAATCAACCTGTAAAAGCGCTATACAAAATAAGTTATTATTATTCACTCACACACACATGCACACTCTCACACACACACACACACACACACACACGCGCGCTGTGGCAGGGATCTGTGTTTGCCAGATTGCTGGCGTGACCTTGCTGGCGCCGGGGGCGAGCGGAAACACTGGGCCGGTCCGGATGATAAACCCTTGGGTCGGATCCGCTCCCATTTACTCCGGAACAGTCCAATCCCGCGGGATCCGCTAAACTGTCCCCGATGAAGGAGAGCGTTATCAGCAGGTGTCATGTAGCGGCTGCATGCTAATGCACTATATTGATTTCTCTCTCTCTCTCTCTCTGTGTGTGTGTGTGTGTGCGGCGTCTGATGGGACTCCAGTAAACCCGACAGGTAAGTGAGATCTGAGAGAAGATTAAAGCTGAACACCTTCAGTCGCTCTCAGTCCCTCTAGCGGCTTTATTTGTGTTGTTCTGCCCTTTGATTTGATTTCTGTCCATTGAGTCTAGTTAATAACTGGAGTGTGTGTGTGTGTGTGTGTGTGTGTTCACTCATTAGCAAACGCAAGGACTCTGAGCCGGGAACCAAATGTTTGCTGAACAATGCTGAGATGATGGCTCACCATCCCACCGACCCCGTGGAGATGAGACGCATCAACTTCCAGACACCAGGTGCACACACACACACACACACACACACACACACTCTCTCATACACACGTCTGGTTTACAATCTTTGTGAGGACTCTCCATAGACTTTATGGTTTTCATACTGTACAAACTGGTTTAGCCGTTAGCCCCTCAAGCTCAAATCTCACAGTCTCTTTCAGCTCAGCCTATAGTGAGAGTTGGGGGCGTGGCTACTGTAGTCGATGGGGAGTTGGGGGCGTGGCTACTGTAGTCGATGGGGAGTTGGGGGCGTGGCTACTGTAGTCGATGGGGAGTTGGGGGCGTGGCTACTGTAGTCGATGGGGAGTTGGGGGCGTGGCTACTGTAGTCGATGGGGAGTTGGGGGTGTGGCTACTATAGCCTTTTGTTTCAAGGATAGTCCCTTGAGATGAACCATCTCATTTTCGAGGGGGTCCCTTCTTTACAACAAACAAGATCATAATAGAAATTCATAAATAAAGTAAATACAACACAGGACTATTACAAACATTTAGATACATTGACATTCTCATTCATACACACACACTTTCAAACAATGCTCCCATAATCCCATAATTAATAGAGAGTCTATTAAAAGTCTGGGAATTTTAGTCTAATTTTATTTCAGAAGAAAAAGCTTCAATGAATGAACACTTTTGTCACACTTTTAAACGCTAATAGTCAGCATTCTCACCATAACAGAATGATTCCTTCTCTGAGCATTCTGGGATTGAATAACTGATCAGGACTGATCTCAGCCTCTGTAGGCAGCACACGAGGTGTTGTGACACTCACGAGGTGTTCCAGCACTTCTGCTGACGGCACTCATGTGTGATTCACACGCACACGCGGGTTTGTAGGCCATCTCCATGACGACAGCTGTGACCTTTGCCCCCGCAGGTATGATGAGTCACCCCCCCATCCCCATCTCTGATCTGCCCGAACACACGGAGCGCCTGAAGGCCAACGACAACCTGCATCTGTCTCAGGAGTACGAGGTGAGGAGCGCAGAGAGACAGGCGAGAGAGAGTGACCTTCATCACCTGTTCTGTTCTTCAGAACAGGATAGGAAGGTGTTAAGTTAATGCTGTTAGACATGTTGGGTGTGAGTCCTCTTACTGTCTCAGCTGCAGAAAAAAAAAACTGACATCAAACTCAAACAGCAGATAGATAGATAGATAGATAGATAGATAGATAGATAGATAGATAGACAGACAGACAGACAGACAGACAGACAGACAGACAGACAGATAGATAGATAGATAGATAGATAGATAGATAGATAGATAGATAGATAGATAGATAGATAGATAGATAGATAGATAGATAGATAGATAGATAGATAGATAGATAGATAGATAACCAGTAGCACCTCAATGCAGTACATGAGATCCACGGGGAGGAGTTGTTTTGTTTTATTGAAAGGGGATTGGGGGTGGGTTTAGGGATCAGGGGGCGGGGATGGGTAGGATTGGGGGTGGGTTTAGGGATTAGGGGGCGGAGATGGGTAGGATTGGGGGTGGGTTTAGGGATTAGGGGGCGGAGATGTGTAGGATTGGGGGTGGGTTTAGGGATCAGGGGCGGGGATGGGTAGGATTGGGGGTGGTTTAGGGATTAGGGGGCGGAGATGGGTAGGATTGGGGGTGGGTTTAGGGATTAGGGGCGGAGATGTGTAGGATTGGGGGTGGGTTTAGGGATCAGGGGGCGGGGATGGGTAGGATTGGGGGTGGGTTTAGGGATCAGGGGGCGGGATGGGTAGGATTGGGGTGGGTTTAGGGATTAGGGGGCGGAGATGTGTAGGATTGGGGGTGGGTTTAGGGATCAGGGGGCGGGGATGGGTAGGATTGGGGGTGGGTTTAGGGATTAGGGGGCGGAGATGGGTAGGATTGGGGGTGGGTTTAGGGATCAGGGGGCGGAGATGGGTAGGATTGGGGGTGGCCGGGTTTAGGGATCAGGGGCGGGGATGTGTAGGATTGGGGGTGGGTTTAGGGATCAGGGGGCGGGATGGGTAGGATTGGGGGTGGGTTTAGGGATTAGGGGGCGGAGATGTGTAGGATTGGGGGTGGGTTTAGGGATCAGGGGGCGGGGATGGGTAGGATTGGGGTGGGTTTAGGGATTAGGGGGCGGAGATGGGTAGGATTGGGGGTGGGTTTAGGGATTAGGGGGCGGAGATGGGTAGGATTGGGGGTGGGTTTAGGGATCAGGGGGCGGGGATGTGTAGGATTGGGGGTGGGTTTAGGGATCAGGGGGCGGGATGGGTAGGATTGGGGGTGGGTTTAGGGATTAGGGGGCGGAGATGTGTAGGATTGGGGGTGGGTTTAGGGATCAGGGGCGGGGATGGGTAGGATTGGGGGTGGGTTTAGGGATTAGGGGGCGGAGATGGGTAGGATTGGGGTGGGTTTAGGGATTAGGGGGCGGAGATGTGTAGGATTGGGGTGGGTTTAGGGATCAGGGGGCGGAGATGGGTAGGATTGGGGGTGGGTTTAGGGATTAGGGGGCGGAGATGGGTAGGATTGGGGGTGGGTTTAGGGATTAGGGGGCGGGATGGGTAGGTTTAGGTGTATGTAAGGTGGGAGGTGTTGGATCTGGATTTCATGTTCCGCTGTGAGAACCATCTCCAGATAACTCTCTCACTCTCTCTCTCTTTCTCTCTCTCAGTCGATTGATCCTGGTCAGCAGTTCACATGGGAACACTCCAACCTGGAGGTGAACAAGCCGAAGAACCGATACGCTAACGTGATCGCGTACGACCACACGCGTGTGATCCTCGCGCCGGCAGACGGTACGAACACCGACTCTCATCAGTCTGTGTGTGTGTGTGTGTGTGTGTGTGTGTGTCCGGATCGTTCATCAAATAACATACTGTGTGTGTGTGTCCGGATCGGGTGTTCTGCTCTTCCATGAGTCAGTGATAAACAACAAACTTCACATTCCCTATTCTCTCCGCTAGGCATTATGGGTAGTGACTACATCAATGCGAACTACATCGACGGCTACCGGAAGCAGAACGCGTACATCGCCACGCAGGGGCCGCTGCCCGAGACCTTCGGGGACTTCTGGAGGATGGTGTGGGAGCAGAGAGCCGCGTCCATCGTCATGATGACCAAACTCGAGGAGAAGTCACGGGTGAGAGAGAGAGAGAGAGAGAGAGAGAGAGGCCAGTAATTATGAGCTCGCTGCTTGTTCTTCACTGTTACTGTGAAGTGCGCTCTAGCTCGGGAAAGCCGCTATGTAAATTAAACATTATTATTTAAACCGACACGACGACAGAAAGACTGACACCGGCTGCGTTTACATACACAACTTTAGTTTCAATCGCCCATTTTATGACTATTGTTTAGTTCACTGTTGGTTTATAAAATACAAACTGGTACGATTTGAAACAGTTTAAATCAGTAATCAGTATCTTTGATCTCCATAATTATTTGTGTTGAAATGCTGTAATGCTGTATAAGTGTAATGACTGTGTACCGTATCTCGCGTCGGGGTCTTCGTCATCCTGGCGGGGGTTATTCTGAGATAACAACCGGCTGGATGAACATTATCTCTTACATATTCAACAGGAAGAACAGCAGTAATACGTCATTATGCTACTTCGATGTCATTGCACATGCACATGTCCTTCAGTTTCGGTTTTCTGTCTGATCAAGTATTCGCATGTTCTCTCGATCGGATTATAAATCTCTTTGGGTTAGGGGTCAATCGGGTCGATTAAGGTTTCCATGAGCCGGCAGTGCCACCACTAACGGATGATTTGTTTAACGAGTCACACGTTCATCTTCATGTCATGTGTTCCTTTGGTTTAGATCAAGTGTGACCAGTACTGGCCCAGCCGCGGCACGGACTCGTACGGGGCGGTTCAGGTCTCTCTGCTGGACACCATGGAGCTGGCCACGTTCTGCGTGCGAACCTTTTCACTACATAAGGTGAGGCGCGCTCACGTCTATATGAGTGCAGCGGTTTACACAACACAGCTCGCGGTTTACACAGCTCACAGTTTACACAGCTCACGGTTTACACAGATCACGGTTTACACAGCTCACGGTTTACACAGCTCACGGTTTACACAGCTCGCGGTTTACACAGCTCAAGCTCACGGTTTACACAGATCACGGTTTACACAGCTCACGGTTTACACAGCTCACGGTTTACACAGCTCGCGGTTTACACAGCTCAAGCTCACGGTTTACACAGATCACGGTTTACACAGCTCACGGTTTACACAGCTCACGGTTTACACAGCTCACGGTTTACACAGCTCGCGGTTTACACAGCTCACGGTTTACACAGCTCGCGGTTTACACAGCTCGCGGTTTACACAGCTCACGGTTTACACAGCTCACGGTTTACTCAGCTCACGGTTTACACAGCTCGCGGTTTACACAGCTCACGGTTTACTCAGCTCACGGTTTACACAGCTCGCGGTTTACACAGCTCACGGTTTACACAGCTCACGGTTTACACAGCTCACGGTTTACTCAGCTCGCGATTTACACAGCTCGTGGTTTACACAGCTCACGGTTTACACAGCTCACGGTTTACACAGCTCACGGTTTACACAGCTCGCGGTTTACACAGCTCGTGGTTTACACAGCTCTCGGTTTACACAGCTCGCGGTTTACACAGCTCACGGTTTACACAGCTCGCGGTTTACACAGCTCACGGTTTACACAGCTCGCGGTTTACACAGCTCGCGGTTTACACAGCTCACGGTTTACACAGCTCGCGGTTTACACAGCTCGCAGTTTACACAGCTCACGGTTTACTCAGCTCACGGTTTACACAGCTCACGGTTTACACAGCTCGCGGTTTACACAGCTCACGGTTTACTCAGCTCACGGTTTACACAGCTCACGGTTTACTCAGCTCACGGTTTACACAGCTCGCGGTTTACACAGCTCACGGTTTACTCAGCTCGCGATTTACACAGCTCGTGGTTTACACAGCTCACGGTTTACACAGCTCACGGTTTACACAGCTCACGGTTTACACAGCTCACGGTTTACACAGCTCGCGGTTTACACAGCTCACGGTTTACACAGCTCTCGGTTTACACAGCTCGCGGTTTACACAGCTCACGGTTTACACAGCTCGCGGTTTACACAGCTCACGGTTTACACAGCTCTCGGTTTACACAGCTCGCGGTTTACACAGCTCACGGTTTACACAGCTCGCGGTTTACACAGCTCACGGTTTACACAGCTCGCGGTTTACACAGCTCGCGGTTTACACAGCTCACGGTTTACACAGCTCGCGGTTTACACAGCTCACGGTTTACACAGCTCACGGTTTACACAGCTCACGGTTTACACAGCTCACGGTTTACACAGCTCGCGGTTTACACAGCTCACGGTTTACACAGCTCTCGGTTTACACAGCTCGCGGTTTACACAGCTCACGGTTTACACAGCTCGCGGTTTACACAGCTCACGGTTTACACAGCTCGCGGTTTACACAGCTCACGGTTTACACAGCTCGCGGTTTACACAGCTCACGGTTTACACAGCTCGCGGTTTACACAGCTCGCGGTTTACACAGATCACGGTTTACACAGCTCACGGTTTACACAGCTCGCGGTTTACACAGCTCACGGTTTACACAGATCACGGTTTACACAGCTCACGGTTTACACAGCTCTCGGTTTACACAGCTCGCGGTTTACACAGCTCACGGTTTACACAGCTCGCGGTTTACACAGCTCACGGTTTACACAGCTCGCGGTTTACACAGCTCACGGTTTACACAGCTCGCGGTTTACACAGCTCACGGTTTACACAGCTCGCGGTTTACACAGCTCGCGGTTTACACAGATCACGGTTTACACAGCTCACGGTTTACACAGCTCGCGGTTTACACAGCTCACGGTTTACACAGATCACGGTTTACACAGCTCACGGTTTACACAGCTCGCGGTTTACACAGCTCACGGTTTACACAGATCACGGTTTACACAGCTCGCGGTTTACACAGCTCACGGTTTACACAGCTCACGGTTTACACAGCTCACGGTTTACACAGCTCGTGGTTTACACAGAAAATAAGAACAAATAATCAAACTAAATCAACAGCACTAATAAATACTATATAGCCAACATACTAATAATATAAACAGTTCTTTTCAGGTTTTTCAGGCTAGTCTACCGGTAGTTTTAGGTACAGAAATTAAATAAAGTAATCCAAATGTAAAATAACATTGCATATTTGACTCTATAAATTCAAGATTAATTTAAAAGTTACAAAAGCTGTTCAATCCAGAGCTTTGAGTGATTTGCTTGTCTTTTGTTGTTTGAATAACATTAAATACACTAATAATACTGCAGTAATATTAGGCTGCTGTCCCTTTAAGAGAGAACGCACTGGTCCAGTTGCCTGATGCTGATGCACGTGCGCTGTCTTCCTCCCCTGTGTAAGTGCACTTAAGGCGTAACAGACTCTCTCTGCTAGGATACTCATCATGTTGACATCCTTTTTCTGTGAATTTGTCCATTCAGTCGCAAGACTTCACGCATTGTTATTTTCAACACAGCAGATTTTAGACGCATCATGAGATTTAAGATCAACCGCGTGCCGAACAGTGGCTGGAAAACTGAACGGTTTGATCTTTTACCCAGAATTATACACCTCTGGTTTCTGTTCTTTCGTCTGAGAAACGGTGTGTGTCGTACAGTGTGTGTGTGTGTGTGTGTGTGAGACTCTTACTCTGGTGTTTTCCTCATCAGAACGGGTGTAACGAGAGGAGAGAGGTCCGACAGTTCCAGTTTACGGCTTGGCCCGACCACGGCGTTCCCGAATATCCCACTCCATTCCTTGCCTTCCTCCGCAGGGTGAAAGCCTGCAACCCTCCCGACGCCGGCCCCGTCATCGTCCACTGCAGGTCAGAGTTCAAGTCCAACCTTCATTTATACAGCGCTTTTAACAATACGGGCTGCCTCATACTGAGCCGTTCGTCTCGTGATGTAGCGAGTACATCAGCTGTTCAAGCCTTCACTGGCTCTCCAACGCAAAGCTTCTGTTCCACCTGTGTGTGTGTGTGTGTGTGTGTGTGTGTGTGTGTGTGTGTTTATTCCCTCTTGACCGCTCCAGCTTGCAGGGGACGACTCTTCTGCTTGTTATATAAGAGTTGCTGTATTCCTGCATTTATTGAGGACCCCTCTCGAGACGAAACTAGCGTTTCCTCAAAGCTCAGACAAGCGCTCTGTGAAGCTTCAACGCTGGAGAATCATTCGCTTCAGATCCAGTCACATGATTCCGGTCAATGTGGATTTGTTTCGTCATAACTGATTAGAAACGTTTCATGAGAGCGATGAAACCTGCATTTATATGGTTTATACCTGATCTCAGATCAGTTTTAGACATTTGTAGGCATTTATTAACATACATTTGTAAAATAAAAAGGAAGAGTTGTAGTTAATAAACTATTATTGGCCTTTAAAAAGCACTACAATGTAATTAAATAGCACATATTATACATACACTTAATATTTAATGGTATAAGATGATTTGTTAATTGCTGTTAAATTTAATTTTAATTTGCAATTGTTTTTAAAAGGTGTTTTTACATGCAGTTTCCGTTGCATTTACACCGTCTGACCAGCAGGAGTCGCCAGCATGTGCCGCTCACACCGACTCAGAACAGGGAATCATTTTGACAAACAATTGGTTCAGTTGATTCAGATCAGATATTCGTCTGGGGCTGATCTGAACAGCTTCTGGTTCTGGTTCTGGTCTCGACCGGGTCTCTGACCCGCTGAGGTTCTGCTGGGACTCACTGGGTTCATTGTGAAAGTGAGCAGAAGTTCAGAAGATTCAACCTTTTGCTGCAGTGCAGTGTGATGTTGCTGACCAGTGCCTGTTATCTCAGTACTGATGCTCTCACACAGACACACACACACACACACACACACACGCACACACGCACAGTAGTTTAGTGTCTACACAGCGGTCAGATTACACACACACATACTCTCACTCACACACACACACTGTCAATCATGATGTCAATCACAGCTGTCAATCATGACGTCACATTCCCGTTTTTATAGCATCAAATAACTAACTAAGACCAAATTGTTACAAAACTACCTAAAATTATTTGAAGTGTAATTTGATTGTTTAGTTTCCATCGTGTCCAGTAGACTTCATGGGGAGGCGGGGTTTATGACCTATACAGGAACTAGCCACTGGGGGGCGATCGAGACACTGGGTTTATGACCTATATAGGGACCAGCCACTGGGGGGCGATCGAGACTCAGGGTTTATGACCTATATAGGGACCAGCCACTGGGGGGCGATCTATACTGGGACCAGGTTCAGCATCATGCTTGTTCCTCTATAATCTGGAAGTTATTTCACCAGGGGCGTAATTTGCGGGTGGGACATGTCCCCACCACTTTTTGCCAAGGTCGATATTGTCCCCACCACTTTTTAAAAGTTCTCGCGGCACGAATAGCTAACAGTAGAAATAAATAAAACATCTCCAACTGGCAGACCAGTCATTTCGTTCGTTTGTAAAATAAAAGAAGAGATCTAGCCCTGAAATACGTTGTTTTTTAAATCAAGTGATCAAAGTGCTCCTTGCCGCCTGCGATCGGTGGCGCGGTTACAGTGTATCTCGTGGCTCACGCACAGTCTTCACATGCGCGCTTCAATCCGTTTCGGATGTGAGCGGAGTGGAGCGGGGAGCTCGAGCGGGCGGATCTTGGACAGAGCGCAGAGAGGGGCATTTTTTAAAGGACGGAGAGTCGCCCTATTTCCCGCTCCAATTTCGCTCCGCTCACACCACGACTCGAGTCTGACTCAACGTCTTTTCCCCGCCTAGCTCGCATTGTGTTCAGCATCCCAAGCGGGTCTGCAAGGGCAGAGAGGGTTTTCTCCGCAACAACCGCATGAGTCTGAAGCCTCAGACATTGTCCAAACTTGTGTTCTTGAAGGTGAACTTTTTCTTTCTTTCTTTCTTTCTTTCTTTCTTTCTTTCTTTCTTTCTTTCTTTCTTTCTTTCTTTCTTTCTTTCTTTCTTTCCTAAAAGTTTGACAATGTATCCCATTTAAATTGTAATGTGCACTCTGCGCAAAAGTTCAGTTATACGAATTTTGGCCTAATAGTTCATTTAGCATACTTTTAAAACGTTTATGTAGCCTAAAGTAGGCCTATATCCTGTATATTTTTATTTATAATAAAGCCCATTGATTAGTTTAATTTTACAGCATTTTTTGTACAATTGATAAGCATAATTTTATTAGGCTATTTCTGCGCGCTGTGCAAACGTTTAGTTATCAAAATGTTGGCCTAATAGTTCATTTACTTTGTAAATTTACTTTTAAAATGTTTAGGCCTTCATTTTTTACATTTTTGTTTATACACTTATTTTTTATCTTTATTTATATTATTAGGCCCATTTATTCGTTTAATTGTACAGCAGTTTGTGTGTACAATAAGCCAATTTAAATTTTAATCGTGCGCGTTCCGCAAAAAATCATCAAAATTCTGGCCTAATAGCCTAGTTAATTTACTTTTATGTATATTTTTGTTTATATAATTTTTATTCATATTATTAGGTCACTTTATTCGTTTAATTTTGACTTTCTGTAGGCCTATAGCATAGGCTATTCCACTGGACATGTTGTAAAGTCGGGTCTATGTTTTATTCACGTGTCACGTGATTCATTCATTTATACACATGTCCCACCCACTTTTTATAACAAAGTTACGCCACTGTATTTCACGTTGTAATTCCACGGTTCTCTGGTGTATTAGATGGAAGCGTCTGTGAGTCTGATATCAAACAGTTTTAGATTAGTAACCAGAACTAGATCAGGGAAATTACACTGTAGTAAAACCCTGCTGTTTCTCGTGTGTGTGTGTCTCAGTGCCGGCGTGGGCCGCACCGGCTGCTTCATCGTGATCGACGCCATGCTGGAGCGGCTCCGCCACGAGCGTGTGGTGGACGTGTACGGTCACGTGACCCTGATGCGCTCGCAGCGGAACTACATGGTGCAGACGGAGGACCAGTACGGCTTCATCCACGAGGCGCTGCTGGAGGCGGTGGCCTGCGGGAACACTGAGGTGGCGGCCCGAAGCCTGTGCTCGTACATACAGACGCTCGCGCAGGTGGAGCCCGGAGAACACGTCAGCGGGATGGAGCTCGAGTTCAAGGTGCGCGAGTCTGGGATTCAGGCGACTCAATTTAGCCCTGTGTCAGATTTACTTTTATTATATTTGGTCAGTGTTGGGGAAAGCTACTGTTAATAGTAATGCGTTGCAATATTGCGTTACTCCCAAAAACGTAATTGTGTTTCTTAATTACTTTCTATGAAAAGTATTGCGTTACAATATTATTTCACTGCGTTACAATATTGTTACTCCCAAAAAGTAACTAATTGCGTTACTTAGTTACTTTTTATGAAAAGTAATGCATTACAATATTGCGTTACTCCCACAAAAGTAACTAATTGCGTTACTTAGTTACTTTTTATTAAAAGTTATGCATTACTTTACGTTTTGTCACCTGGTCTGGGCTTGCTTGTTTGTTTTTTAATAACATAACAACATTTTTTATATTTTTGGGCAAATGTAAAGGCCCTTTATTTAGCCACCTTTATTTATATAGTGCTTTTTACAATACAGGTTTTTAAAGTAGCTTTACATTAAAATTCAGTCTACTGATAGTAGTGATATTGTACTCACACATCACATGTGTTTCTCCTCGATAAACAAGCAACAATATAGACTGCTGGTCAAAGGATTGTAATTAATAAAGATCCAACCAAGGCTGCGTGTATTCTGATCTTTCTGATGATCAAGACACATTTATGATCATTATCAGAGATGAAAGTTCAAAAGAACAGCATTTGTTTGAAATAGAATCTTTTGTAACATTATAAATGTCTTTACTCTCAATTTGAACAATACAATGTGTCCTTTGATCACAGGAATAAATGACACTTTACTGGATATTCACATAGAGAACAGATGATTTACATTAGAATAATATTTCACTGTTGCAGAAACATTAAAACTTATTCTAAATCTTCGACCAGTGGTGAATATACAGTACGTCATTTCCATGCAATGAATAACAATGATTTGTTAATTTATCATAACACTGTTTGTTTAGATCACCGCAATTTGAACATGCAATTAATACTTTTATGATGAATTTTCATATTAAACGCACATCTGTTTGAGATTGAAAGTTTGCCTAGTGCATCATCATGAAGTGTTTCCAGGACAGTTTTAATAAGCACAAGTTGAAATCCGTGACCGTATTGTGATGCGTTTGTGTCCGTCAGCGTCTGGCCAACACTAAAGCACACACCTCCAGGTTCGTCAGTGCTAATCTGCCCTGCAACAAGTTCAAGAACCGGCTGGTGAACATCATGCCGTACGAAACCACACGCGTGTGTCTGCAGCCAATCAGAGGCCTGGAAGGGTCCGACTACATCAACGCCAGCTTCATCGACGGATACAGGTAGAGTTCCCCGACTCTATCGGACGAGAGCAGAACCTGAGCTGAGCTGATCTGAGTGTGTGTGTGTGTGTGTGTGTTCAGGCAGCAGAAGGCGTACATCGCCACGCAGGGGCCGCTGGCGGAGACGACGGAGGACTTCTGGAGGACCCTGTGGGAACACAACTCCACCATCGTGGTCATGCTGACCAAACTGCGTGAGATGGGCCGGGTGAGAGCTCCTTCTGCTTGTACTTTAGTCCTGTGTCAGATTCAGGTTTATTATATTTAGTCAGCGTTGGGGAGAGTTACTTTTAATGCATTACAATATTGCGCTACTCCAAGAAAAAGTAACTAATTGCGTTACTTGGGTATTTTTTATGAAAAGTAATGCGTTACAATATTTACGTTTCATCATCAGAATGATTTCACTTTCACCTGTAAGCACCAATCAACAGAGTGTTGGCTGATTTATAATATTATCATATAAGTGAACTCACTCTCTAAATTATGAAAACAGGTAAATCTCAAAAGCTTCTTTTTAAAGCTAAAACAGTGAGTAATTCCAATAATTCTAATGTTTTTTTCTATTTAAACAACAGCAAAAAAGCAAGAACAATCACAAACAATCCAGAAGATGTTTGGATTTATTACTCTGCAACAAACTCTGTTCCTCAAAATGAGACATTTACACAATGACTGAAGATATCAAGACAAACATGTATTAAAATGTAAAGTGAGTTTGTGTTTGAAACAGGAACAAATTTCTGCCGATGGAGTCAGAAATATAAACTTCATTCAAAGAGAAAACTTCATTGGCAGATGTTTGTTCTGGTTTTAACTCACTTAACACATTTTTTTTTATACATGTTTCGCAAGCATGAAACCTCGTAGTAGCTTTTAAAAACATTCTATATTATTTTTCTGCTCTTATTTTGTTGAATAAATTATTGAGAGATTTTGTAAAAATGTTAAATGTTTTAAAGTATATTTTAGTCTCATATTTCCTCATCGCAATGTTGCATGTTGATCATGGAGAAATAACAAATAAGATTTTTCAGCCTAGTTTTCATGAGGAAGCGAGCATCTCCTGTACCGTGTGTGTGTGTGTGTGTGTGTGTGTGTGTGTCGACAGGAGAAGTGTCATCAGTACTGGCCGGCGGAGCGTTCGGCTCGCTATCAGTACTTCGTGGTGGATCCCATGGCAGAATACAACATGCCACAGTACATCCTGAGAGAGTTCAAAGTCACCGACGCCAGGGTGAGTACAGGCCGCCGTTCACCGCGTACGTGCAGAGCCTGGATTGAACTGCCTAGCAACTGCCTAGCAACACCCTTGCAACCACCAATATCACCCTATTAGCTGCCACATAACAAACACCTGAGCTCCTACATAGCAACACCCTAGTAACAACCAAGAACACCTTAGTAACTGCCCTGGAACACCCTAGCAACACCCTACCAACCAGCCAGAACACCCTAGCAGAAGCACATGAGATGCATGGATCCTCATGAAGAGAGACTGAAGGTCACGTGTGTGTTTATATTCAGGACGATGACATCATGTCTTTTTTCCCCATAGGACGGACAGTCCAGAACCGTTAGACAGTTCCAGTTCACCGATTGGCCAGAACAAGGTGTTCCAAAGTCAGGGGAGGGTTTCATTGATTTCATTGGACAGGTGCATAAAACCAAGGAGCAGTTTGGTCAGGATGGACCAATCACAGTCCACTGCAGGTGATGATGATACTCACACACACACACACACACTCAGTGTTTGTAGACGAACATGAGACATCTCTCTCTCTCTCCCTCAGTGCGGGCGTCGGGCGCACAGGTGTGTTCATCACTCTCAGTATCGTGCTGGAGCGCATGCGTTACGAGGGCGCCGTCGACATCTTCCAGACCGTCAAAATGCTGCGCACGCAACGGCCGGCGATGGTGCAGACTGAGGTACGGTAAACACACACACACACGTTTACCATCCAGCTGTGAGTGTGTGCAAGATCTCGGGTCAGTCCCGTTTCTGTAAAACATACTCCGCCCGCTCGGACCCAAACTACCTTACTGGATCCGAAACATCAAACGATAAAATGTGCTTACAGAGACATACACGGCAACGCCCTAGCAACCACCCAGAACACCCTATCAACTACCCAGCAAACATCTAAATACCTGAGAAACTGCCTAACAATGTCATAACTGTCCTAGCAACACCCTAGCAACCACCCTTGCAATCACCCATAAACATCCTAGAAAGTGCCTAGCAACACCCTTACAACCATTCAGAACATGAACATAGTAACCATCGACAACACCCTAGTAACCTCCCAGAACTCCCTATCAACTGCCTAGCAACCATCCAGAATACCCTAGAAACTACCTAGCAACCTCATAACAATGTCCTTCCAAACACCCATTCCTAGCAACTGCCTAGCAACACCTTTGCAACCACCCAGAACATCACCATAGTAACGATCTGGCAACCATAGACAACACCCTAGCAACCACTTAGAACACCCTAGCAACACCCTTGCAACCACCCAGGACATCACCATAGTAACTGTCTAGCAACCACATAGCAATGCCAAAGTAAACATGGATAACACCCTAGAAAATACACAGAACACCCTAGCAACTGCCTGAGAGCACGCTAGCAACACCGACAACATACTAGCTACTATATGTCGGCCTATCAATCACTCAGAACACCACTGTAACTATGCAAAACACCCTAGCAACACCCTAGCACCTGCCTAGGAACCACATAGCAACGCCCTAGCAACCGCCCAGAGTGCAGAGTTTTGCCACTGACTTTTATTGTTATCTTTCTGCTCTATCAGAGACTATAATGCACTAGTGATCAAGGTGACTTTAGTCCTGTTGATGACCTCGTCTCCTGCAGTCATGTGATCAGATCTGTGTGTGTGTGTGTTCGCAGGACGAGTATCAGTTCTGCTATCAGGCCGGCCTCGAGTACCTTGGAAGTTTCGATCACTATGCAACATAAGAGAAGAAGAACACCTTCCCCACACCAGAGACGCAAACTATTACCTCAGTGTTCACTTATCGATATTAATGTTGTGGTCGGCTTTCTAGAAATATTAAACCGTGGATGAAGAGGAAAATTTTACATATTACATGTACAAAAAAAATCTATTTAAAGCAAAACAACAAGAAACTATGAAATCAAAGCCTGGATTATTGCTGCACCCTTCAGTGGGAGTTTCTTCGAACTGTCTTTGCCAACGTCAGACGTGAGTTCGTTCGTTCGTTCGTTCGTTCGTGTGAATGACGGGATCGTCGCCACCGGGACGATTAAGCGGGAGTTTGATTAAACGAGATCTCCCACCGTCTGTGCCTAACGGAGCGAGGCGGACACACACACACTCCTGTGAATACTGTGTTTGTGTCTCTACAAGACTTTCTGCTGCTTACGCGTGTTTGAGAGGCGAGCGAGTTTCTCGTGTCTGTATCATGTTCTTTTGCTCTTTCCGCTGTCGCGTTCATCCCAGAACGTATCACACACACACACACACACACACGAGACCCAGTGTTTCCAGCAGTCAAACGCTAGAAGCATCCGATCAAATCCAGGACACACTCGCCAAACTCTTCCCGTCATGTTTAGTTTAGCGAAGGCGCGGTGTTTAGGAGTAGCGCGGGAAACCAGCCGGTTCGAGACGTCAAGTGAGCCTTATTATCGTTGTTGTCAAATATTTAATCGACCTGATTTTTTTATTTCATTTTGTTGTTGATATGCTTGAATTTCTAAGGATCTATTTATTTACATGATTTTTATGGCACTATGATTTGTGAGCTGTGGTGTAGTTGGCTAATGTGACTGTACATGCCTCAGATGTTAACCCTCTCAGATATTTTATATATTTCCTGAGCACTGATCGTTCTAGAGAAGCCGACGGTCCTCAGCCAATCGCTGGAGCTCTGAGACGTCACATGGTTCTCATCGGCATTATCGGTCGGACGAGGCGAGATCAAGCACACGCGGGGTTAAAGAGCACCAGGAACTGCACTAAACCAGCAGGGTCGGACCACGTGACACCATTGTGAGATCGAAGGCGTGGTCACGTTTCGCTCCGAATACATGCCAAGATTTCACTAACAATTTACAATTAGACTAATCGTGGAAATCTGCTGAAAAAATCTTCTATTTTTGTCCTGTTGTCCAGTTTAACAAATATTGTTACATCAGGATATAAGAAAATGACTGAAGATGTTTCAAATGAAAAATCAAAAATGCAATGAAGTGAGTTTGTGTTTAAAACTACAACAAAAATCCAATGGAGGCAGAAAAATAAGAAAACAACGTCATTTTTGACAGATATTTGTTCTCCTTTTAAACTCAAACTCACTTCATTTTGATTTAATCTTCAGTCATTGTTCTTCTTCTCCAGTAAATGTCTCTTGATTTAAGAATGTTTAGATGTGTGTGTGCTGGAAAACGAGACAGAAACACTGAGGAGGAACTTCTCTCTAAACTATGACAACGTATAATTTCCTAAGAAAAGTTCATTAAAGTGCTGAACTGGTTCTCCATCGTGTCAGCTCGTTATAGACTGACGCTCGTGTGAATCGGTCAAAGTGAACGTGGTCATCAATGTGAATCTAATATCAAATATTGGCAGACATGAGCGTATCAGTGATGGTGTCCGTTTCAGCATCTGCTCTTCTTCAGCAGTTAAAGCACATTCACCACTGATGTTTCCAATCAAATATTCTCTCGAATTAAAGACAAAAGCACAGGAATAATCCCACAATCCTCTGGCAAAGCAACGCTTGATCGGACGAGGGAATGAGGGCCGAGAGCTGACGACTGCGTAGTGCTTCACTTTTCTCTGCTTACTGATTCAGATCATATGTGTAGATAATATGTCGACTTTGTATTAAAACAGAATGACTGGATATACTGACGTGAAGAAGTGTGTGTGTCGTCTCTTTTTTCAATCGTCTGCAGTGTTCACTGGATAGGTCACAGTTCATCACACACACTGATCTCACATGCTCATCTTCTGTAGCCGATCCGGTTCAGACGGTCACTGAAATCTCCGGATCTTCAAGGATTCCTGTTCGCAAGATAAAAACAGCCCGTGTGAAAGTTCATGTTGTTGATCTTGATGTGCCATGAAAACATCATTCAACTAATATGAGTCTTATTAATCATAATTATGCAGAAATATTCTATATAGGACTCTTGACTCTATTTTAAAGAATGCTTGTTCTATATAAGAAGAAATGTCTTGCATGAATGCATATGTTCTTGTTTAACAAGTTATGCTTTTCTAGTTATAAAGTAAGTGTATTTTAAAGTGAGCTGTTAAAGTCCTAAACTGTCCGTTTGAAGTGTGTGTGTGTGTGTGTGTGTGAAGCTCCTGACCGAATGTTCAACACAAAACCCTTTCTCAGATATAATAACCGCCTTCCCATGTTTCCGAAACTTACTGTCTTTCTTTAAAGTTTTCTGACTCCACTGGCAGATGTTTGTTCTTGTTTTAACCTTTGACACATTTGTTTTTACTTAATATCTTTCAGTTTTGCTTCTTCTCCAGTAAATGTCTTTTGATTTAAGAATGTTGTGGAAAACACTGAGGAAGAACATCAGTTCAAACCTGTTATTGTGATCATATTGTGTTCAGCGTGACTCAGCCAACCTTCTGACAAACCAGTTGAACTCATAATGTGTGTGTTGAACACAATCAGAACTGAAAATCATCATGAGGAACACATTATCACACACTGGTTTGGCATTCACAGCATTCATGACCAGTGATGATGATGATGATGATGATGTTCGAATTTCTGCAGGTTTGTAAGTGTGTGTGTGTGTGTGTGTGTAACTGCACCTAGATAGCATGTACCCGGGCCTTGGAAAAGGCCACACACATCAGGCTGGTTTTAGTGGGAGTTGTGGTTTGCTGTGTGTGTGCCGGATCGGATGTGGCCTTTTATATGAATATTAAGGGTCCTATCTTGCTCCAGCGCAATTGATGCATGTATCATACCCACCTTACTCCCGACGCACAGCAGACTCTTCCCTCCACAGACACACATCAGGAACATTGGGAATCAGGGAATGAACTTGCGCTCCCAAATCCACCGTTATAGAAGAACAAGCGCGCCTGCTCTGAAAGGGAGTGTGAGAAGATGCTCTGATCGGGTTAGTATGGAGTAGGAATGTTTGGTAACGCTTCCTTGCCTTGTGGTAAAAAAAAAGAATGAAAATATATAATGAATGAACTGATAAGTGTGTTTGTCATGTATTCGAGTCTCATGTCGTTGGTGAATTCCTGAGAGATCGTTGTTTCATCATTGTCTCTCGTGTGTGTGATAGCATCTGCTTCTTCCAGACTTGATGAGTTTGTGTTTGTGTGACGCCTGATCCGTGCAGCTGTGCCCCGGTCATGTGCTTTAGATAGAAGAACACACTGATCCAGTGGGTGGGGCCTCAGTGGGCTGGTGGGCGGGGCAGACCAACCCACATCTGAAACAGTGCCGTGAAGTTTCTGGTTAACATCACTTTCAATGATCAAGAAACACAAAAAACAAAGTTTTAATCAAAAACTAAAAATTCTGTATTATGCTGCCAGACAGGTAATTTGGTGATGGCGATGTCATTTGTAAAGACCACATCTGTATTCAAATACTCATATCTATATACTATGCACATAATATGTATGTGCACACCATCACATATTCAGTGATGATCACGTTTTTCAAAATATTTCAACACTTGCACTTGGATCCTGTTTCAGAGTGTGTGTCCTCGAGCTCAAACACTGTCGTGTGAATGAACACATTAAAGTTTCTGTGTTCAGTAGAGCGGTGTCGTGTTAGCGGCCGCTAAGTTAATCACTAATGATCGTTACACTCTCTGTGACTGTAATCTCCTGTTATCAGTGAAGATGCGGTGAAACTCTAGTGTTGAAATGCTGAAGAAATGAAGGTGATTTGACGGTTGGTGGGCTGTGGCTGAGTCTTGAAGTGGGCGTGGCTCTTTGTCCTGTGGGTGTGGCTCGGTCAGGTGGGCATGGCTCTGTCAGGTGGGTGTGGCTCTGTATCCAGTGGGCGTGGTCACAGTTTCTACTGTCTGCAGTGAGATCCGACTGATGGATATAGTGCACAGCTCAGAGGAAACACGTCTGGATCTCACGCATGATGGGAAGCAAAAAAGCAAACAGGAAATTTTCTCTTGACAGCTCAGGGTGAGTGTGTGTGTGTCTGGATGAGTTAATCATGAGTGTGTGTGTCTGGATGAGTTAATCATGAGTGTGTGTGTCTGGATGAGTTAAAAGGGACTCTTGAAGAGGGTAAATCTTCTAATTTTCTGGATTGTTCCTCTACAGCATAATAACACTAAACCTTTTACTTGGTTATATAAATGTTAAAGAAACATTCCAGTTGATTAGATTTTAATTTTGCAAACATTATACATATACATATATATGTATGTACAGTATATGCTATCTATATATATTCTGCTGCTATATATGAATAAATATACTGTATTTACTATTCAAAAGTTCGGGGACAGTAATTTTCTTTCAAAGAAATTAATATTTTCATTTCACAAGGCTGCATTAAATTGGTCAAAACTCACAGTAAAGACATTTATTATGTTACAGAATATTTATGCAGAAAAATGATGAATAAAAAATTACATTTTACAATATATTCACATACAAAACAGTTTGGTAACGCTTCAGATGTGCAGCCGCAGTGTACAGTGTAAGTAAAGCAAATTTACAGCGTACCCTTTTGTGAGAATAGTGTATACAGTTTATAAGGGAACAATATGCAAAATTTAGGGGCAAAATTCTGCTGCCGCTGATTATAGATCCTGCTGCTGTTGATTATAGATTCTGCTGCTGTTGATTATAGATTCTGCTGCTGCTGATTATAGATTCTGCTGCTGCTGATTATAGATTCTGCTGCTGCTGATTATAGATTCTGCTGCTGATTATTGTAGATTCTGCTGCTGCTGATTATAGATTCTGCTGCTGCTGATTATAGATTCTGCTGCTGCTGATTATAGATCCTGCTGCTGCTGATTATAGATTCTGCTGCTGCTATTTATAGATTATGCTGCTGCTGTTTATAGATTCTGCTGCTGCTGATTATAGAAACTGCTGCTGCTATTTATAGATTATGCTGCTGCTGTTTATAGATTCTGCTGCTGTTGATTATAGATTCTGCTGCTGTTGATTATAGATTCTGCTGCTGCTGATTATAGATTCTGCTGCTGCTGATTATAGATCCTGCTGCTGCTGATTATAGATTCTGCTGCTGCTGATTATAGATCCTGCTGCTGTTGATAATAGATTCTGCTGCTGCTGATTATAGATTCTGCTGCTGCTATTTATAGATTATGCTGCTGCTGTTTATAGATTCTGCTGCTGCTGATTATAGAAACTGCTGCTGCTATTTATAGATTATGCTGCTGCTGTTAATAGTTCTGCTGCTGCTGATTATAGATTCTGCTGCTGTTGATTATAGATTCTGCTGCTGCTGTTTATAGATTCTGCTGCTGATGATTATAGATTCTGCTGCTGCTGATTATAGATTCTGCTGCTGCTGATTATAGATTCTGCTGCTGTTGATTATAGATTCTACTGCTGCTGATTATAGATTCTGCTGCTGCTGATTATAGATCCTGCTGCTGTTGATAATAGATTCTGCTGCTGCTGATTATAGATTCTGCTGCTGCTGATTATAGAGACTGCTGCTGCTGATTATAGATCCTGCTGCTGTTGATAATAGATTCTGCTGCTGCTGATTATAGATTCTGCTGCTGCTGATTATAGATCCTGCTGCTGTTGATAATAGATTCTGCTGCTGCTGATTATAGATTCTGCTGCTGCTGATTATAGATTCTGCTGCTGCTGATTATAGATCCTGCTGCTGTTGATTATAGATTCTGCTGCTGTTGATTATAGATTCTGCTGCTGCTGATTATAGATTCTGCTGCTGCTGATTATAGATCCTGCTGCTGTTGATAATAGATTCTGCTGCTGCTGATTATAGATTCTGCTGCTGCTATTTATAGATTATGCTGCTGCTGTTTATAGATTCTGCTGCTGCTGATTATAGAAACTGCTGCTGCTATTTATAGATTATGCTGCTGCTGTTTATAGATTCTGCTGCTGCTGATTATAGATTCTGCTGCTGTTGATTATAGATTCTGCTGCTGCTGATTATAGATTCTGCTGCTGATGATTATAGATTCTGCTGCTGCTGATTATAGATTCTGCTGCTGCTGATTATAGATTCTCCTGCTGTTGATTATAGATTCTGCTGCTGATTATAGATTCTGCTGCTGATTATAGATTCTGCTGCTGCTGATTATAGATTCTGCTGCTGTTGATTATAGATTCTGCTGCTGCTGATTATAGATTCTGCTGCTGATTATAGATTCTCTTGCTGCTGATTATAGAGTCTGCTGCTGCTGATTATAGATTCTGCTGCTGCTGATTATAGATTCTGCTGCTGCTGATTATAGATTCTGCTGCTGCTGATTATAGATTCTGCTGCTGTTGATTATAGATTCTGCTGCTGCTGATTATAGATTCTGCTGCTGCTGATTATAGATTCTGCTGCTGATTATAGATTCTGCTGCTGCTGATTATAGATTCTGCTGCTGCTGATTATAGATTCTGGTGCTGATTATAGATTCTCTTGCTGCTGATTATAGAGTCTGCTGCTGCTGATTATAGATTCTGCTGCTGCTGATTATAGATTCTGCTGCTGCTGATTATAGATTCTGCTGCTGTTGATTATAGATTCTGCTGCTGCTGATTATAGATTCTGCTGCTGCTGATTATAGATTCTGCTGCTGCTGATTATAGATTCTGCTGCTGCTGATTATAGATTCTGCTGCTGCTGATTATAGATTCTGCTGCTGTTGATTATAGATTCTGCTGCTGCTGAATATAGATTCTGCTGCTGCTGATTATAGATTCTGCTGCTGATTATAGATTCTGCTGCTGCTGTTTATAGATTCTGCTGCTGATGATTATAGATTCTGCTGCTGCTGATTATAGATTCTGCTGCTGCTGATTATAGATTCTGCTGCTGCTGATTATAGATTCTGCTGCTGTTGAATAATAATAATCATTCATTAAATTTATATAGCGCTTTGAGTATTGATTATTGGGAACCAATCAGCTGAGAGTGACGTGACTGCAAGCAGACTGGGTTAAACACCTATCCGCCTGTGCCATCTAGAGTTTCATGACAGAACTTTGCATAATATTATGTCCTGTTTTTAACTGTGTTTATCAAATAAATAAGAAACTAGAGACTTTCGCAAACATAAAAATGTTAATTATTCCATGTTAATTAATTATGGCATGTGTTTAAATACGTGTATACACTATTACAGTCACTTCACACAGACAGAAGAACGAGTGCTTATACAAACTCAACCAGTCGGTGTGCATTTCTTTCACAGTGAAATCATTACCGCAGTAAAAGACGAGCCCGCTGGCTACAGTTCACCTTCGCACGCCACATTAACCCGATGGATGATGATGTCAAGTGTTTCAGGAATTCACACGCATGATGTTCTGGGTCAAAGCTGCTGATTTGAGGAGCAACACCATTGTGTTTTCCATGAACAGTGTTCATTATTATTATTAAGAGGCTCAAATCCCAGAACAAGTGTATGATATAATATTGAGGTTGATGTTCAACATGTTCTGCGTGTAAAGCTTCTTCACTGATCATTTGCTGGAGAGTTTTAGTAGTGACAAATAAACGAACATTCAGATTTAAACTAATTATATTCTATTTCTTATTTGTGTTCCACATTTCTCTAAAAACGTTTTTATGATTATGTAAATACTTTTATACTCCGATCATTTATTAAAAGATGGCGGTAAAGGTGTTTTAAACACAGTTGTCTCCGGTGGCTGGTGTTGTTCGCATGAGTGAGCGCAGACGTGTTAATCTGGTTTCCATAGAGGCGCATTAGACTGGATCAGAGCAGAAACCAGTTCCCCCAGTGTCAGTGTGTTGAGCGCAGGCGTCACGTATGACAGGAGACGCTCCGGTCGAGCTGAAGATGTTGTCAGTGTCTCTGGAGACGCTCATCTGAGATAACGTGTGGCCTTTCATTTCCTTCTACTAATAAGAGAATTGCTTGATCCACTCTCTCATCTCTGATGGTAAATATGAATTATGATTAACTTTGGCTTCTGACACACAGCTGTGCTTTATAAACTCAGATGGACACATTACGAACTTCTGAATTTATTTAAAGCTTCTGAATTCAGTGACAAAAGACATGCATCATCTGAAATGATTCATATTAATATGAAAGGGTTTCTGTTGGTTGTTTGATTCACATGCTGAAATCGTCTTTAAACTAATGTGAGAGTGTTTTCAACATCTCACTTTCACTTTAAGTGTGTGACAGGCATAAACTCTTCCTCTAGAGACATCAATCAGCAGTTCTCCTGTCAGGTCGTGGATGATTGCATCACACTGAGTCATGTTTAGACAGGTGTGTGTGTGTGTGTGTGTGTTAGATATCAGCTGGAGATCAGCGAAGTCTCAGTTAAGCCCAAGCCCAGCATGTTGTTGAGAAGATCTTCAGAGATCAGAAGTTTGCAGAGTCCAGACGAAACGCATCCGGAGATCCTGGAGCACAACAGCAGCGCCACACGCAGGTGCACACACACACACACACACACACACACACACACTCACTGACCCAGTCAGTAAACAGACCTGGTATCACAACATTTTTTCTTTTGTCAAATCAACTTTATAATAATTTATTTAGTTCAGATAACATATAATTTTGAGTTTCTGATGGTTAAATTAATCTCCTTCATTGTATTATTTCACTTTTTCCAGTTCAATCAACTTAAAATTTTAAGGCAACCAGGTTACTTACCTTTTTAAGTTAAACCAACAATATTTTTTTACAGTTTGGGTTTCATGATCTTTATTACGGTGATGATGATGATGATGATGATGATGATGATGATGATGATGATCTCCTCTCTGTCAGATCCACGATCATCGAGGAGGAGAGCTGGACCAGATCCGGTGTTCAAAACGTGAGTTTACTCTTCATCACTCCATCTCTTCTCGAGTCCATGAACACGTGCACACACACACACACACACACACACACACACACACACACTAGTCTTGTGCTCTTTTGCTCAGAGTTTCAAGAACCACAGCAGAACCTTCCGCAAGCTGTTCCCTGAGGTCCCGGAGGATCTGGATCAGGGTGAGTTCAGGAACGGTCTGGGTCTGTCAGTGAAGGGTTAGCGGTGCCGTGGGTCAGCTGATCCGCGTCTGTGTTTCAGTGTTCACCTGTGCGCTGCATAAGGAGCTGCTGTACCACGGGAAGATGTACGTGTCGCGTCAGCACATCTGCTTCCACTCGTCTGTGCTGCTCAAGGACACCAAGGTGAGCCGATCTGCGTCTGGACAACACACACATGCGGATCTGCAGCACCAAGTGTCTCTATCCTACTGTTTATATGCCAAAATGATGTTTTTTGTGCATATGATAGCCTACACTGTAAATTAAATTAAATCACTGGTGTGGAGTGTGTGCATATGACACACCAATTTTTTAAGTCTTTTAAAAGCATTTTTCTTGGTAATGCGAATGTTAAAGGGTCTGTATGTGTAATTCATGAACTCATGTTATAGCGACACCGGTGGTCGTTTGGTGAACTGCAGGGACACTCGATTCAGTGCGCTGATATACTCACAGAGAAGGGCTCGTTCGATCTTCACTCAATAACAAAACACACACAGCGAGAATGAGAACGCAGCCGTTCAGAAAGCATCCGATCATGATCAATTGCTTATAAAGTATATTTGAGACTATATAGATCTGACTATAGTTTGAAATAATCTCTTTTCTTGACATTACAGTGCAGAACAGATTTCATTATCATTCATTTGAGGACGAGATTTTGATTTTGAATCCTTTCGATTTTCCCGCCGAAAACATCCCGAGTCCTTCACATAAACACCAGCAGGCTTTCCTTCATAGACGGGAACGTCTCGTCTGTCAAGTTTCACTAGAAGCTCGTCGCACATCAACAATACAAAAGCGATTCTTGCATACGGCCCCTTTAACGTATTTGTGCCACATTTTTCTGAATGGTTTCATGCAAAGTCGTGTTAGTAGTGTCCTGTGTGAACTTGTGCTGTATTTATTTTCCACAGGTTTCTGTTTTTTTCTTGAAAATCATATTTGAACGTGCGGACTGTCATTAAGTGTCATTCACTCAATTATGACATTTTTAATGCAAATATGACATTGTTTGAGATGTCTTCCTTGTGACAACTTTACATAAACCAATACATCATAACCTGTCATAAATATCATAAACATAACAGCAGATTAATGATCAAACTTTAGACACCTCTATAGCTTTAACATTACATCAAACTGTCAGGTGGGTTAGACATTGGCTGTCACGAGGCCTTATAACATTAATGACAAATTCAATGTGTACCACATCCAAAGATATTCAGGACATAGTTATAAATAACACCTCATGAGTGTGTGTGTGTGTGTGTGTGTGTGTGTGTCCCTGTAGGTGATGATCCACATCTCCAGCGTTCTGACGATAAAGAAGAAACACACCGCTAAGATCGTTCCCAATGCGGTCGCTGTCATCACTGATGACGGACACAAGGTATACACACACACACACACACACACACACACACATACATATGGTGTCTTTCATTCACACACAGAGTGTTTCAGAGCCTCTTCACAGAGATTAGTAGGACAATAATGCAGTTTGTTTCCTGAAGAGAATAGCGTCTCATACACTGTAAAAAATGATTTTTTGGTTAAGTAAATACTAGTGAAAAAACCCAATGTAATTAACTTGAAAAAGTTAGTTCAGGCAAGAATTTAAAAAACTAAGTTAATTCCATATCAGTACTTATTTTAAGCGAGTATAAATGAAAGTGTAATATCATTATCAACTCAATAAAATTAAGTAAAAATTACTCAACTTTTCTGATACTGGGGTTCCCATCATGCACTGGACCTTGAATAATTAATGAGGTTCATTTTTCACTGGTTTCCAGCTGTATTTACACTGTTTTATCATTGATTTTTGTTGTCAGTATTAGTAAATTGCCATTCTGTGACATTTCGAGTAAATTTTTTGCTTAAAACGACACATACAAACACAAAAACGATCCATCAAATGTTACCACCATTGTGTATTGTCTACCAAGTATTGAGGTGTTTGCATTCACATAAGGCTTAAAGTCTGACATGACATTTATATATAAATTACTTAGATGATCTAAGTAAAGAACATACTATAAATGACTAATAAAATTCAAGATAATTGTTTTAGTGAAGTGTAATACAAAGGCAAAGGAAATCGGTATTGATCAACCTTTTACAAGCCGAGTTAAAATTACTTAAATAAAGTTTACTTAATTCCACATTCCAAGTAAATTTAACTTAAAGATTTCTAATTAAAGCTACTGATAAATATGTTTAGGTTTTTACTTGGCAAATCTTTGTAAATTTACTAGCATTTTCTGAGTGAGATCGTTTAGCAAGGTTTTTTCAAGTAAATCCTACTCCAAATTTTTTACAGTGTGTATATATATATATATATATATATCTGTTCAGTTCTCATATAATGCTGTCGATGCAGGAGGTCAATAATATTGCTGGATATAAGATTAAATGTCTCCGACTGAGCAGACGAAGGCGACTTTATCCTCGATCGACTCACACACTCGAGTCTCACACACACTGATCTAGCTCTCACACACTCGAGTATGAACAGCTCTGATGTGTGTGTGTGTGTGTGTTGCAGTACGTGTTCGGCTCGCTGAGGAACCGGGAGTCGTGTTTCCGGCTGCTGCAGTCGCTCTGCCCGCAGGTTTGAGCTCCTCTGCTGCTCTTCATGGATGTTAAGGTCGTGTGTTGAGTCTAAAGTGAGTCTGTGTTCGCTCTTAGACGGAGATCCTCAGCAGAAAGTCCTCCGCTGAACACACTCCTGAGATGGACTTCGACAGAGTAAGAGTGAACCGATGCTTTAGAATGAATCACCTGAACGACTCCTTTCTGCTCCTGTGTTTACGTGCATGTCTTATTACCCTGTTTACGCTTTAATAACTCTGAGAGAAAATAACGGCCGCTGTGGTTGCCAGAAATACACTGTAAAAAATACAGAAGCAACATTTTAGTTTTCATTATCTGATAATGTTAATTTGAAGTACTAATATCTTTTTGTACCATTGTAACACACTGGCAACTACCAATCACAGTGGAAATGAGAGTCACATGATCAATCACAACTCATCGCAAGAGGATTTTCCACAAAAAAGTTAAATATTAAAGTCCCCGTGAACCGGAAGTCGCAAACGATTTTTCTCCAGTGCTGCTGTGACGTATTTCCAAGTGAAACGGAATATTGAACAGAGGGCAGGGTTTTACTCTAGCGCTCCTCCTCTCCATCTCTCGCTCATAGCAAACTAACGGTTTGAGGGGAGTGGTTAAGCGTTTCCCCACCCAAACTGTGAAACCTACGTCATCAGAAAAAGAAACCGTTCCAGACCGGAAGTAACTTTTCAGATTTTGATTAAAGATTACCAAAGTAAAACATTTTTTAAATATATATTCACTTGCACGGATTAATTGTTCACCACAAGACTAGTAATATGCGCTAACAAAGTAAATAGGTTCAATTTTGATTTCACGGGGACTTTAAAGAAGCTCCACAGTGTCATTCACACACACACTAAACAACATCAGGATAACACACAAGACATTTAAAAATGCAGTAAATGTTAATTTTATTTACATTAAATGTAACATAAAACTTTAATGTACATTAGCCTACTGATTAGAAAAAAAACTAAGAAAAACTATTAAGAAAAATTTCAAATAATAAAAATAAAAAATAAATAAATTATACAATGACTCGTTCTTTTTCACTTCCAAAACTGTAATATTACTGTAAAATTACATTAAATGTACGGTTAGATCAGTCACAGTTATTCACTGTATACAGTACGGAAACTTTGTTAACCAGTTTTAGTGTCTTCAATGTTTTACCGTTAAAGTCCCGCTCATTTTTACAGTGAAATCTTTTGTTTCATGTAGTTGTCTGTCGTGTCCTCTGATAGATCTCCAGCTATTCGAGTCTAGAGGAGAATCCTGAGAATCAAACGATTCCTCTGAACGAACTGACTCTCACCGACTCTCAAAGTGAGTCTGCCTGAAGTGTGTGTGTGTGTGTGTGTGTGTGTGTGTTTCTGTGGCACGTGTGTGTACGTGTTCATACATCACAGCTGACCTGCTCTACGGCTGTATAAACACATATGAGTTAATCAGTTGATTGATCAGAGCGAATCGAGACTCTAAACTGATTCTTGTGTTCACAGCATCAGTCCGAAGCAGCTCGACGACTCCCGACTCAAGCCGAAACACACCAGAGCAACACACCACAGGTGAACCTTCACACACACACACCTGTCCATCATGCCTGTTTGCTGCCAGTGATCATGTGTTCTCTAACCAGTGCTCTCCTGGGTTTCCATGGTAACAGAGAAGGTCCGATCGTCCAATGACACGCTCCGACTCAACAAGCTCCTGCTCTTCTATCTGATCCTGTGAGTACAGCCCAGAACTCATCTGGGGTTCATTTAACCCAGCAAATTGGGTTGTTTATTTAACCCAGCATAGTTCATTTTTCTATAATACTAGCTTCGTCTATCTTTCTTTTACTTCATACATGAATTAATGTTTACTGATTTACTAAAAATCTTTTTGTAAAAATCTTTTTCAAACATTATTTCCGAAATGTTTGAAAAATATAAACCTAACAGGACTCTTAGATCAATAAACTCAGGTCAGCTAGTGGAGCACAGAGTTAGAACAAAATATGGAGAAGCTGCGTTTAGCGTCTCTGCTGTACACGACTAGAACAAACTACCAGAAGATATTAGATGTGCCCCGAATGTATTGATTTTTAAATCTAAGTTGAAAACATTTCTTTTCTCACAAGCTTATGACTGAGCTCTTAAAATTAGCTATACTGTGTAGTTTTAAATTTGTTTATTTATTTTTTATTAAATCTTTATTATCCTTTTTTTTTTGTGCATGTTTGTATCTGGTATTTTATCATGATGTTTTTACTTTTTGTAAAGCGTATTGAAGTACTTTGATGGAATGAATTGTGCTATATAAATAAACTTGTTGTTGTTGTTGTTTATAAACTCGATACAACCACTCGCTCGCTTGCATGATAATTGTTTTATTTTTACATAATTTTATGTAATTTTAATAAATTGTCCATAACAGTTCAGTCAATGTACAGTTATGAGAACATATTTAACATTATAAGTATTTATTTTCGGTATCTTTTTTAATAAAATAAAATAAACGAATGCAAGGCATCAGACGTTTTCATCACGCGAAAAGATCGTTTAGGTGAGTGACATCATCGCGCCCCTGTGTGTTGCTTTGCATAACATTAAAAGACCTACATCACCACGAGTTTATAAAATGTACACAAACCTGTATTTCGGTGATGAGAGCTGATGAACATCTGATAACCGGTCTGTGTGTGTGTGTGTGTGTGTGTGTGTGTGTGTGTGTGTAGAGCGGTCCTTCTCCTGCTGTCGTCGGGTTACATCGGGCTGAGGATCGTGGCGCTGGAGGAGCAGCTGAGCATTCTGGGATCTCTGCCGGAGTTCACACAGCAGAAAGAGTGAGTTCATAATCTCAGTCCTGTAATCTGATTGGCCGATCGCTCGGCTCTGTCTCGACACTCTTACAGATGAGCAGTGTTTTCACAATTAAAAGGATCCAGTATAACCTGAAGTGAAGGTTCTTCATGAAACCATCAATCCCAGTAAAGAGCCTTCATCAGTGTAGTGTAGCGAATGTGAACCAGTGCACTCCGGTGAACCCTCTCCTGAAGATGAGAACACACACACACACACACACACACCACGCTTACTGCAGAACTCAGGAGTGTGTGTGTGTGTGTGTGCGGTCAACTTTAACACACATTCAGTCACATGATCCTCATCATCACTGTCTGTACTGTGTGTGTGTGTAACAACATATCAACAATATATAGTTTTTTTGTCTGTACTGTGTGTGTGTGTGTGTGTGTGTGTAACAACATATCAACAATATAGTTTTTTTTCTTGTTTATTTATTATTAACCCATTTTTTAATAGAACTGGTGTATAATTCAGTATATTCCTCTTCCACAGGTGAAGATGGAGACACTGATGACGGAGAACACACACACTACAGCAGAAGACACACACACACACACACACACACACTGAGAGATCACTGGGTTGGTCTTAGTAAAGCTTCAGTCAAATTAAACTGTTTAATATTCAGATTATTAATGCAGCTCTTCAGAGTTCTGCTTTTGTCGATCACATTATATCTATATACACTATTCTGTATGTTTGTAGTGTTTATATTTAATATTGTTAACATTGTTGATTGTAATTATTCTAACAAGAAATAAATGTGAATATTTATTTTGAGGCGTGTGAAAGCAATAAAGGATCATTCTACCAAACGTGCATTTTATATTCTCAAAATCAGATTATCATAATATTGAGTGGTTGTGTTTGAGGTGTGTGTGTGTGTGTGTGTGTGTTTCAGACTCTGAGTGGATTTATCATCAACAGTTCTGGAAATGAATGATGACACTAAAGACATGTAAACAGTTATTTTATTAAAATTATGAAAGAATTATAAACTAAACGCATGCATCAACATGAAATGATGCTCCATTAACAAACTGACCTGCAAACTCAACAATCTGCTCAAAGTTTTGCTCACGCTAACACACACACACATGTGGGGACACACACACAGTATTAGCATCACCCATCACTGAACACACACTTACAGCGCTATAACGAGATGTAAAATAAGTCTCTGATGTCCCCAGTGTGTCCGTGTGTGTGTGTGAGAGAGAGAGAGAGAGAGAGTGTGTGTGTGTGTGTGTGTGTGTGTGTGTTTGTTTGTGTGACACGAGCTGCGCATGTGCAGTGGCGGCCGGCAGGTGTCGCTGTGAGTTCCGCTGTATTGTCTTGATCTACTCGATAACCCGCAGAAGAAGAAGGAGCAGATCCACAACACAGCGCGATGGAGTCCAGTGATGCGGGTAAAGACAGACGGCCTCACAAACACCATCCTTCCTTCTGTTCGTCCCAAACACATGTGTGTGTCCGTGTGTGTGTCCGTGTGTGTGTGTCCGTGTGTGTGTTCTGCCTCTCGACCCTCCTCGGCATGGTGTTTACTTTGACGGTTCTGAGCGATAGCCGCTTCACAGCTGTGTGTGTGTGTGTGTGTGTGTGTGTGTGTGTGTGTGTGTGTGTGTGTGTGTGTGTGTGTGTGTGTGTACACACACCTCAGATCAGCTTAAACACCAATCGAATATTTGTGTTTATTTGTCTTATAAGACAAATAAACACAAATATTCGATTCTCAGGTCACATCACGGAAGCCCGTTTCAGACACACAAGACAAACATAATTATTTTTTTTAATTAAATTAACTATTATGAGTTATTTATGCGATTAAAAAATCGAAGTTATGAGGTAAAAATAGAAATATTGACTTTCTATGACCTTGTATGTAGTAGTTTCGACTATTTATCATAGTTATGTGCTAGTATTATGACGTTGGATTTGTTATGCCATAATTACGACGTAGACCTATAATGTCGTAATTTCAAATGGATTTATTCGGCTTTATCTTAATTTCAACTTTATATTTCGTGATTTTGTCATAGCATGTCATAATTATGATTTGCGCAAGCATGATGTTTTTCTTATGCTGGCTGAAATTGGCTTCCATGTTGTTTAAAATGTAAATATGAATATCAGAATAACCTATCCGGATTACATTACTTCTGTAAAACTACAGTTATATAGAAATGTTTAATCTTAAAATGACTATTGTTTTGATTATGACAAGTTTATGTCTGGGAAATGCTGATTGGACAGTAAAGAGAATGAACTCTTATTAACATTAATGTGCAAAAACGTTATTTTTATATGGAGAAATGTGAATGTTGTTCTCCGCTGACGGCCACTGTGTGATTGCAGTCGCGACTTGAAGAACTCATATTTCTCTATAACACTTTTTGATTTTTCCTTCATACTTGCATTCAAAAAAGTGCTCAACTTTGACTATTTATTTTTATTTTTTGATGATTTGATATTTTCTAATAGTTATTTTAAGTATAAATTCAAAAGCAGAACGTGTAAATGTATATTTGTGAGTGTAAAGGGCAAATAAACATTACTGCTTTTAGTGGTCATTTCATCTTTTTAAAATGTTTTATATTAATTTACACCACAGCATTTTCCATTAGAAACGTAACGTTCATTTACACGACAATGTCATGATTTTGTGGGCCTGAAAAAGCTACATTCGAAGTTTTCCACAATGCCACAGTTGTGTCTCTGTGTGAACTACACAAACACGTGTGTGTGGAAACGGTGTGTGTTACGTGTTCAGACTGTACAGACGCGTAGTGTTTCTCACACCGTAACATCGCCACCTACTGGCCACACACACACTAACGGGGAAACATTCGACACTTCCTGCCACAGTTGCAGTTACTAATACAGGTGAATACTGTTGATTAGTGGAGTGAAAAGCCTTTTATAACTGTGTGTGTGTGTGTGTGTGTGTGTGTTAGGTCGTGGCGGCAGGAAGACTCATCAGAAGAGTAAGCTGAATGTGATCATGAGGCAGGAGGAGCTGATCGCCCAGAAGAAGAGAGAGATCGAGGCCAAGCTGAGAGAACAGGCTCAGACCACGCCCACGCCGAAGCCGGCCCGGAACTCAGCCAGCAGGTGGCGCACACACACACACACACACACACTCACACACTCACACACACTCACACACATTCTCACGTCTCTCTCTGTCTGTGTTTCAGCTCTCCTCCCTCACAGGCTTCATCGTCGTCTTCATCATCATCATCGTCGTCGTCTTCATCTTCATCCTCCTCTTCCTCCAAGTCGAACCGGTTTGTGAACGACGGGAGTTTCCTTCAGCAGTTCCTGCGGATGCAGCAGCAGAAGTCCAGCGCTGACGACGGTGAGCTCAGGTCACTTATTTTAGTGGATGCAGACGGGTTCAGTTCTTGAAATGTTGGCTATGTCATGTCCTGTAGGACCCCTCAGCCCCGCCCCCTGCGCTCAGAGCCAATCACAGGCTCAGAAGAAGAGCGTTCTGATCGGGAAGCGGCCGGGGCTGGGCGTCAGCAGCATGATCAACCAGTTCAAGAACTACTCCCAGTCCAAGAAGACCACGCTCCCCGTGACCCGGCCCAGCGTGTTCAGCTCGCCCGATGATGAAGACGAGGAGGAGGACGACGAGCACTTCCTGGAGGTCAAAGGTAACACTCTCGACCTGTGAAGTCTCATCTAAATGGTGCCGAACTAGCATTCTCCCTCTGCAAGAGCTGTTCATTAAACACCATAGAGTAACTCAAGGACTTATTACACACACACTCACACACTCACACTCACTCACACACTCACACACACACACACACTCACTCACTCTGCTTTGTTCTCCTGTGCAGTGCCGCCCCCGGAGGACCCCGAGCTGCGGCTGGTGCTGGAGAAGATGGCCGTGTTCGTGGCCGAAGGAGGAGCAGCGCTGGAGAAGAAGGCCATGGAGGATTACAGAGACAATCCCTTATTCTCGTGAGTCTCACACACACACACACACACTTAGTGTCGGCACGCTTCGACCTGCGACCTTTGAGTCCCAGTCGAGTCTCTGTTACTTCAGCACTTCACACACTTCAGATCGCTTCACAGTGATGAACAGCAGAATATCAGAATCAGTGACGAATCTTCATCAGATATCAAATTAATTATTCAAATCAGTTCAGTTCAGTGTTGATTCAGTTCAGTTCAGTGTTCACTCAGTTCAGTTCAGTGTTCACTCAGTTCAGTGTTGATTCAGTTCAGTTCTGTGTTCACTCAGTTCAGTTCAGTGTTCACTCAGTTCAGTGTTGATTCAGTTCAGTTCAGTGTTCACTCAGTTCAGTGTTCACTCAGTTCAGTGTTCACTCAGTTCAGTTCAGTGTTCACTCAGTTCAGTGTTCACTCAGTTCAGTGTTGATTCAGTTCAGTTCTGTGTTCACTCAGTTCAGTTCAGTGTTCACTCAGTTCAGTGTTCACTCAGTTCAGTTCAGTGTTCACTCAGTTCAGTTCAGTGTTCACTCAGTTCAGTTCAGTGTTCACTCAGTTCAGTGTTCACTCAGTTCGTGTTCACTCAGTTCAGTTCACTCAGTTCAGTTCAGTTCACTAACTGTGTAAAGCAGAGAGGTTCAAATGGTGGACCGGATCCGGATCGAGGGACATTTATTGTTATTATTTCGTGATATAACTTGCAGACTTTGAGAGCTGAGCCTTTGCTTCATATCAGAAGCATAATCGAGCCATTTTACCGTTTCTAACAGTAGCAGAAACAGGCGAGCAGCAAAACACACACTTCTCTGTTCTTGAACACGGTTCGATAAATATTAGAATTTGGAAGATTATTAAGAGACAAAACCCTTTTGAATTGCTAGTTAAGTGTGTTTAGTGCTCATGAGAGTTCTGGCTGTTCTAGTGGTTTATTAGTTTGAGTTAATTGATTGGTCCACACACTCCTGCTCCTCCGTCCCGAGGCCGTCTGTGTGCCGGACACTCCGCTGTCTAAATGCAGAATAGAAATGACCCGTTACTCGTCTGATCTGACCTTTATACTCGTGACCTTTATATGCTGTGCTGAAGCCCGTCTCTGTTGCAGGTTCTTGTTTGAGAAGAACAGTAAAGACTATCTGTACTACAGGAGGAAAGTGGCTGAGATCAGGAGAGACTCGTCCGCTCAGGCTGATGGTGAGCAGGAACCACACACACACACACACACACACACACACACACACACACACACGTCCTGGAGACGCCCTGTGTTTGTGTTAGATCGTGTGAAAGGGGCATGATATGTCACCTTTAACCCTTACTGATGTGCTGATCCCTGACTCGTCCTCTTCCCCAAGCCAACCCCAGCTCTCTCTCTCACTCGTAACGAGCTCGTTTAGTTTGCGTTGCTGCCGGTTCTGATAGGCTGCTTTAAGTCTCCTCCTCAGTGGACGACAGCACCAGGAAGGTGGCGGAGAAGCTGGCTCGCTTCGTGGCGGACGGTGGCCCAGAGGTGGAGATCATGGCTGCGCAGCACAACCGGGACAACCCCGCCTTCAGGTGCGTGAGCCTCGCTCGTCCCAGTGTCCCCTCCGGAGAGAGAGCGAGCACTTACACACACTTACACAGGCTTTAATACATCTAGAGTGCTCTCTCTCCAGGACTTTAGCAAGATTATGCCTGAAGAGGGTTTGGATATTTTATCATATGTTAATTTAGACACATCATATGGTCAATTGCTTGGTTTTATTGTATTTATATCATATTTGTATTTCTGTAAATTAATTTTTGCCATGAAAATAGCTGACATAAGATGCTGACATGGCATTAAATTAACTATCTATCTATACTGACT